ATAAAGTTTCAACTACCATTTACCTTTTGTTTATATGTTGGTGATTTTGTAACTATGTATAATTCGGGACAAGTGGAACAAACTCGATGCAATTTTAACTTAACATTTGAACCTTTTATATTGGTTGATGTTCTAGCATGAGTTGTAATACCCATTTTAAGATGTTCTAGAAAATACATCATTCTTACAACATTATACATAATAGACCCTGTGTTTTAAGAAATATTAAGTAAAATCATTGATACCTCCTGGGGTATCATATGAAATAAAAGGACGATCTTCGAATCCAATTGTAATATTAACTGGAAGATATCCATGAATAGAATGTGCTCTTTCTGCACTATGCCATGTGTCAATTAAAGGATTATAATTTTCTATTAATTCTGTTTTATGAATAGATGTTCTAAAAGTAATAAATTTACAACATGAAATATTACAAGGGAAAAAAAGGTAAAGTTAATAAGTTATTATTTTTTACCGTAATATGACATGGTTATTACGACCGATTGAACCATGAGTAAAATTTCCTCTCATTGAAAATAATGATGTTGTAGTAATTGCAAGTCTAACATTTGCTCCCAAATCTGTGGCCTGTACTGATTCCATTACTAATGGAATATTAATACGTTGATGATTAACATGGAATTCCATGTTTTGATATATATTATATATATTATCAGGTAAGGAAGAAAGATCTATAAAATTTTATGAAAAGTATTATATTAACAACTTTCTAATATTATAGTTCTAAAATAATACAATTTGTGAACTTACATTTAAACCCTTTGATGATATTTGTTTCATTTAAATGAAGGCACAAAACTGTTTTCTCCTGAATACGTGCAATTATTTCTAAATGTACAGGTCCATTTTGCTTCTGATCTAATTTAAATTGTTTTAGTATATCTTTTATTTGAGTTGGACTATCCATATATGTTGATAATGAATGTAAGAGACCTTCAGCTTTGATATATAACTATATAATATTTAAATTATTATTACATAAAAAGTTATAACTAAGTAGCTCTAAAATCAAAAACTTACAGACACATGGTTGATATTAATTCCATTTCCATAAGTATTCACTGTTACATATAAAACCTCAGGTATGTTTGTCAAAGGGTTAGCAATGACAATACCGTGTATCATAGCACCAAATTTTCTATATGTATCTTGATAATCAAATAAATAATTTCCAGTAATTATATACTTATTTTTCATTGGCCGAAGTACTCGAGTAAACTGTGTAGCTATTGTTCCGCTGAAACATAGTTAGATATGAAAGATATTATAATGAAAACAGTATATGATGCAATTTTATTAATACATACATATGAACATAGCAAGGATGCGTAGTATGTTCCACAGATTTTAAAATAGTATAAAAATAATTATACAAATGTTGATCAAATATACTTTGCATGTACCAATATAATGATATCAATCTATTTGGTGTTGGGCTAGAAATAATGAGTAATGTCAGTGCAGCTACTCTCATTTCTAAGTGTTCAGTTCTATTTATTAAAATTGGCCAATAGACTGGATATATCTATAATAAAAACAAAAAGGTAATGTTGAATAAATTATTAAACTATGTAAATAAAGTACCTACAACATCAGGTCTTAGAGGAGCGGTTGGAAGTGATGCCCATGCAGCAAGTACCCGAAAATGACGTGATTCTGCATTATTACCGCTAGCAATAGGTTCTAAAAATTCAACAACTCTTCCCAATTGTATATTTGCTAATCCTTCCAACCAGATCATTTTCTTTTCATATTCCTTTGTCTCTATGAATGATTTATTATTATAATGATGATAATAATAATAATTTACATAAAATTGATAATTGATAATTCAAAAGTATTATCACATACCTGTAAATTTATCAAGATACAAGCGTACATAATCATCTAACATTTCATATGGACAATACAATAAACATGTCTTATAAATCAATGTACCATATGTAAGAATGGCAGTATTCTGGACCTCAATAGATATTTTATCTGGCAAATTTAAAAACGTTTGTAGACTGACTAATAATTGAATATCAGGTTTTCGTATGTGAAATGGCAGCTGGGTAAGAAGCTGAATTGCAGACATATCCGAAACTTTTTTATCTTGAATTAATTCTAATATAAATAATGCAGACTCTTTTGTGCCAACTTGTGGAAGAGCTTCAAGAAACATATTTCTAGAATAATGTTAAAAGAATGAAGTAGTACACGGAATATTATATTTGTTTAAATTATTTGAATTGCTGAATACCGTATTGTTTCTTCTTTATAACTTGTTCCTGAAATCTTTGTATATGCTTCACGTAAATCAACGACATTTAGCATCTCAAGATAGTAAAGTAGTACACTGACTGTTGTGTTATGTAAATTACCAGCCTCTGTATCTAAACCAGGATTTTCAAGTCTCTGACTTAATCGATCTAGTAAACTTCCTATCTGTAACGTGAAAATTTTATTATAAGCTATATATTATTTACTTTTTCAATAAATTTATTACAATTATAGAAATGTAACTTACAGATTTTAAAACAGTATTCTTATCAGGAGTACCTCTGCCTTGGGTGAGATCTAATTCTGGAAGTTCATGTTGTAGAACTTTGAAATGTAAGGTTTTAATAGGTATTTTATTTATTGTATCTTTCACCGAAATTAATTTAAAGATTTGTCTGTATACCAAGAAATGAATACAAAAGAAGTGTAAGTGTGATATAAATGATATGAAACCATTTTTCTTAGGAGTATTTTCGTAGGAGTATTTTTTCTTTTTAACATACCTTGTAAAGTGAAATTGTGCTTCTCCAAAACTTTGAAAGGGTTGAACATATATACCTCCAGAAGCATTAACAAATAAAATTTCACTTAAGAGTCCATTTATATTAACTTTATATAATCTTTCACTGGATTTTAATATTGGATTCTAAATATAAATAATTATTTATTTATTTCATTGAACAAAGATTAATAAGATATTTATGTAAAGCATGTCATATTTAATGTTACTTTGATTTGTATGAAAAAAAAAAAAACATACTTGATCACTATTAGGACACAACATTTTGGGAACATTTGACCATGTATAGTGAGGATGCCCAATACAAGTACGAGGGTCTAAAAATTTCCTTATTAGCCATTCTTTTTCATCTTCCCGATTAGCGACATATTCAATGTTACATTGGCCATAATGGTTTTGCTATAATATAAAGATATTTATAACAATTAAAATATTTTTCATAGTACAAAAATACCTATTACACATAGAGTCACTTACTTCAGTTGAATGAAATGCTGTTTCCTTTTCTAAAGTTGACAAATCTAATTGTAAAATTCCTGCTATACTTCTTTTTATATTTGTGGACCATGCAGATGTAGCTTCTGTGCTAAAGTTTTCAACAAGGCCATTCCTATATGTAACTTGAAATGGTTTCAATAGCTCATCTGCATCATCAGGAATACCTTGATCTTCTTCTTTCATTTCTTCATCACCATTCCACATAGTCATCTTTAATAACTGCAACTATATAAAAATATTAATGCATTATGAAATCATATTTGAATTATTATGAAATATACCTGCATTGTAGCAACATCTTGTTCTGTTTGAATTATAAGTTTTCCATGGAATCCCCATGAAGATGATGCAGTAGCTGGTAACAAAACTCCAGAACTTGAAAGTGCACTATAGGAATAAACGTATTCCTTTCCTGATTGAAATACACTATATGCAACACAATTATTACAAAATAGAAGAAGCACAAATATAGTACTTCCTAATTTGTGCATTAATATTTGTAATACATTATTAGTATCTGTAAAAAGAGTTTAATACATACATAGAATATTTTTCATTTAATAGTTTCTTAAAGTTATTAAATCAATTCATGTTATTTAAATAATGTTTACATTATACAAAACGTTCTAAATACTATAAATATTTATAAACGTTTGTCTTACAATTTCAAATAGCATGTATTGAAATTAAAAGAATTTATCTTAGATGTGCCAACAATAGCAATGCTTATTAATATACCTTATAAGTAATATAGTTATAAATAACAATGCTTATTTTATACCTGTGATTTTCATGGTGTATAATGGTGGCTTAACAAAAGTGAACTGAGTTCATAGAAGTCAAGAGATGACCCTAACTGCCCCTATCTCTGTGACCCATGAACACGTTCTCACCATATGTGTGAGTAAAATTTATCTCCTGTCTAAATTATCTTTAATCATATAAATCAGCCTATTACACTTTCTTTTGTATATTTTTATACAACATACAATTTATACACAGCTTCTCCTTTAAAGAATTACGAATGTTCTTTGGCATTAATTTAAAATAAAATAATATAAAAATTTAATTAATGTTAAATCTTTTCACAGATTTTGATAATATCTATATTAGTAATAATTTTATTCATCATAAAATGTAATAATAAATTGTAACATATTATTCTATAAATATATGTATAATTGTTATTCTATTCTTTTCTTTCTAAAAAATATTTATATTGTGATGATAATGTTAGAAGCTATGGTGGAAACAGAAATATAGATAACAAGACCTCTGACCGTATGATTGTCAGCTTTATCTACCGCATCATTGAAAAAAGGATTTCTAATTTTTTAATGCAACCATAAAAATGTAGTACCAAATTTATAAAATATGTATACGTTATGTAATTTAATAAATAAAATTTATTATGTATAATAAAAATATCACTGATTTTATTTTTCTCAGCTGTAAATATAGGAAAGCTGAACACAATCTGATATTTACATATTTATTTTTACATATCTTTCGTTTATTTACAATTACTATTGGAAAGTGTGCTATATTATCAGAATCTTATTTAATTTATTTCTATACAAAATTACATTTTTATATATTACACATCTAATTGTACTGCAAATTCATCATGTACAAGAACTTTTTCAGTATGTGTATAAAACTATAGATAGGCATATTAATGAATACTATGAAATAAAAATATGATAAAATATTATTACGAAATGCATACATAATTAATACATTACAAAGGTTTAATTATTTTTAAGATGGACTTTGAATATTCCCAGGCTTCGCTGTAAAAATGAATAATTTCATTAAAACACGCGCAAGCTTAAGAATGTAGTTTCTTAACAAATGTAATATATTTTTTATTTATAAATTGATTAATTAAATCATTTTTAAAAAAATTCAAGATATCGATTGTGACATAGTATTGTCTAGTAGTGATATATTTATTCATGGTAGTTGTTCAAAATAAGAAAAAAATTAGGAGTACTTACTTATGTGCCGGATTTGCTTGATCTAATTGTTCGCTAAGTTGTTGAATAAGTGTAGCAAACATTCTCAAATGATCTATTGTTTCACCTTGTAACCATGCTCGTGGAAGTGTACTCATTACCTATTGATTAAACATAGTAAATAATATAACTATTTATATTTAATTTACACAAATGCAAATTAAAAATTATCAACACACCATATTTGCTTTAAATAAAGCATCGGTAGGAGCAGATACTCTGAGACCCGCTAAAAGATATCGGTTTAATAATGAACCAAGGGCTAAATTTTTTAATTGTGTATCTCCAAGAAGACCTTGCCAACTTAATAAATTTCTTAGAAGCTTCACAGCCATTGCAAACTGTCTTTGAAAAAATTGATGTTTTGTATCCAAAACTCTGAGAAACAAAATTAAGAATTACTCTTGATATTATAAAACTATTATTAACAATTCTAATCAAATATACCATGTATACTAACTGTTTCGGGAAAATTGGTATAAATACATCATTTTCAACTGCCGACTTAATTTTATCTAATATAGCATTAAATAATGTTTCTAATGGTTTGCTCGCATCATTTAAATTCGGATAGTCTCTAATCAGGCGATTTACTGTGCCAACAAGACGTAATGTTTGCGATGTGGACATTGGATCCCATATTCTTTCAACTATAGCTGTAAATAAAAAATAAATCAGTAATTTATTAGGCAATTTCTAATTAATTATGAAAAAGTATTTTAATTGCAATGAATAAAATGACCTTACATGTTAATCTAGGTATAACGACTTTCTCCACTGTGAATGGTACTAATCTAACATCTGGATCTTTCTTAAGGGATTCTTCTGTTTCATTATTATCTAATGCATATAAAAGCAATGTATTATACCATTTCGTTCTTTCTATATCAGCACTTTCCTAAAACCAAAGCATAATTTTAAGTTGCTTGTGTAGTTACACGATTAAAAAGTCACATTTAAATAATACAATATGGAAATGACAAATAAAAATAAAAATATACCATAATAGGATTCCATGTCAGCAAGTGCAGTCTAATAATAGGAGAAATAATTTTAGGTATACATAAAGATACATAAGCTTCCATATAAGCATCTCTATCAGTTTCTCTCCATGATTCTAATTTTGAAAGTATCCCCCTTATTGTGCAATATTCGTCCATCACATCGGCAAATATTTCTTTACTTTCATTATCGATTTCGTCTAAAACAAAAGTATAGAAGATTAGAATTAAAATAAATAATAAAAGTATCAAGCTGTAGAAATTTGAAAGATAACACAGAATTACACAGAATATGTTAAAACAACCTTTTGTTTGTTTAAAAGCAAGATTTTGCTGTTCAGTAACTTCATCATCACTTGACATTCCATCGATATGTTTTGGCATTGTAGGAGCTAATTCTCTAGCCCTTCTTCGACGAGCTCTTCTTCCTTCTCTTTCTGTAGCTCGACGAATGCGAGCTTCGACTTCCGGTCCTTTTCGAATAGGTTGTCCTCCTGTTTTTGAAGTGATATATATATTGAAATTGCATTGATTAAGAAAATTGTTATATATCATGTACAAGATTAAACATGAAGTGTTTGTAATTCTATACATATATAAATAATTTATAGAATTAGTATTGAAATAACTGACTTGCAGCTGTTGTAATTTCTTCCGCTTGATCCCTCGTATCTTGTCGTCTTCTTTCCATTAATTCAGTGGCACGTTCACTATAAAGATCTAACCAGCGTTGCTCCAATCCAACGACCAGCGGCAGCTAACAAAAAAGTTTCATATTAACATTCACACAGTGAATTAATTCAATGACGCTGGGAATTACTTTTGTTCCAAAAAATATTTATGTTGATCCTTAATAGTGATTTTATAATTATAAATACATATTTGAATGAAATATTAAACATTTATGATAACTAATGAACAATAAAGATATTCATTTTTAACATTTGCTGGAACTCAATACATAATTCCACAGTCATTGGATATCTTTTGTTCAAAAGGAATTTGAAAACTAATATTAATTTACTTACCGCATTGCATTAATTTATCTTTTTAATAATTATTAGTACTTAAAAGTAAATATTACTACAGAATAAATCGTTCGTTTTATACAGAGAAGATACAGACCCCCGGCAATATAAATATACACAACATATGCTTGATAATTCTTTTTACATTTTGTAATTCTTAGTATGCATTTTTCTTTTTCATAAATTGTAAATACTAAAGTAATGAAATAATGAAAACAGTAATGCTTAATTTTACTATAAATAATTTTAATTCTTAAAACACTTCAATCTATTATCTTTTAATGCTATTATTTATTGTAGAGAAGGAAGGTTACTATATTTTTCCTATGTGCAGTGTAATAAAACGAAGAAATATTAAGTGGAAATTAAAAGCTAGAAAGTAAAACTTATCTAATTATAGGTGATTGTAAAAATTATTACCTAAATGAAAACGTATTACAATAAAACTGTATTTTATTCATTTCTGTTCAATAATATTGTATGTATTAAAAAGAACTGTAAAAAAGAATGAAAATGTTATGTTCCAATATAAAATATCTACAGAAAAATCGATTCTCAAAACAAATTAAGTTAATAAAATACATATCTTTAAGTACCTAAAAAAAAAAAAGGAATGCTACACAGATATCATTACAAAATTTATTTGGTAAGAAAAATGCATTGCTTCTAATATGGCTGAATAATTGGTACAGCCAAAAATTGCATGGAAAACCCCAGTGCACATAAAAAAACGTGACAGCGTATAAACCCACCTTCTCATCAAGACACTCTACCAAGTCAGTGACATACCCACGCAACTCTTGGTAATATCTGAAGCGGTGTGCAAGCTGCGGTGCACGAAGTTCGGCAACATCCAGTTCTTTCATTGTTTGACCTAATTCTTGTTCTAACCGATCCTGATCTAGTTGATGACGTCGATGTACTTCTTTCGAACTATCCAATCTACAAATTATATTTCACATTTTAATCTCCGGCAATTATAAAAACAAGCAATATTTTAGAACAAAAAGATTTCTAATTTATATCACGCAAATTATTTTAAAATCTTAATAGAATTTATAACCTTGCACGTATTTTATTTACAACTTCCTGAGGAGTAATTGGCACTATTTTTGTTGGATCTGGTGGCTGAATCGTTGGAGGGGGCGGTGGTGCTGGCATCATGACCATTTCTAACGATATTCCACTTCCCATCATCTGATTCACATTCATACCCATTGAATATTGTTGTTGCATCATAGAATCTTGTTGTACTGCTGCAATCTAATTATTTGATAGAAAAGAACATTTAGTGATATAGAACTAAAGATGATTACAAATAAACTGAATTACATAATGTGTGAATAAGATAATGAGATTACCTGTGCTCCTGTCACACCTTTCCTAATTTGTTGAGCTTCCCATTCTTCTTCCTCATTCTCATGTTCACTCTCATCATCAGAAACTAAAAGAGAAAAAGGTTTATATGGTATTCATTTACTTAAGGAATTCTAAAAATAAAGTGACGAAAACTAACGTTTTAATGGAACTTGTGAAGCAAGAAATGCTTCTCTTCTTTTTTCTTTATCACGCGCTTCGGTATTAACAGTCATGTCGATTCGATCTTGAGAATCGTCGTCATCGCTTCTATCGTGATCTTCTTCTCTAATCAGTCTTGATTTACCCTTATCGTCGCTGCAAATATTAATATACTTATTATATTTTTTCAAAAAACAACAAAAAACATTGATGAAATTAATTAATGTTCCAAATCTCAATATTGTAATAATTTTGTTGAAGAAATAGTACCTCTGCTCTTCTATAGGAATATATTCAGTTCCTAATTCTCTTGCCTTTTGTCTGCATTTCCTAGCTGCATGGATCATTGCAGCATCAGGTATACAACCACCTGTGGACATAACATACATAGTTACTTGTTGCAATGTTTCTAAAATATTTAATACTGTATTGTTGTAATACATACTTTCAAGAAGAATCTTCATTGTATCAGCCTTATCTGTATTTCTTCTAAATTTATGACCACGCGGTTCATCATCTTCTTCATCAGATGTATAGTCATCCTTTCCAGCTGCTAGTGCAGCTCGTCCATTCAAGATCAAAGATCCGGTATTTTTGATTTTAACCTAGTAATAAAAATAGTTACTTTGTTTAAGAAAATCCTTCATAAAAAACAATGTTAATAATTCCAATAATAATTTGTAATTGTTAATAGTTTAGTTAATGTTAAATTATATTGAAAAAATGATACATATAATAGCAATGCAAATTTTTTAAGTATTTCTATGATTTATAAAGATACAAAAATAGTATATTATCATATAATACACTTAACAATCTTTTTTAATAAACAGATTTAACTTACTACGTATGCTCATATTTTAATAGCTGTGTATACATGAAATATTGAAAATTTTTACTAAATCCATTATATGTTAATAGAATCACATTCCATATTCAGTACATTACAATACTTCTACAGTTAAAAAAGTAACATAACTTACAAAAATAATAAATGTAATGAAGTTTTATGTACATGCATTGATAAAGATTTCTATCACATTTTTCAATGAATATTAAATGTTGAATATCGTGAAGAAATGAAATCCTGATTTAAGAACAAATGACATAAATCGGAGAAATTCTAATAATAATAAACATCATAGAGATAGCTTACTACTAGATCATCAGTCTTTATTTCTAAATCTTTTTCCTGTTTAATGGACATGTTCGCTTGCTCAGAGTCCACTTGCATTTTCTCTTCACCTTTCTTTTTTTTCCTTTCGTGATCTAGTTGTTTCATCAATTTTTTGCTCCTAGAAGATTTCTTCACTTTAAAGACTTCCCCATCATCCGCTGCAAAATAATAAGTTATTACATCCAATATTATGTTATCTGAAAGCTAATTAATCGTGTTAAAAACATAATATTTCAAGATAATAAAATACTGAAGTATATTTTCATTTTATAATAACAAATGTATACTTATGTGTACATGTGAACATATACTATACAAAATTACCTTCTTCCAGCTCCTCTCCAAAACTAAGGAGCGTCTGCTTCGGTTTTTCCTTCTTCTTAGTTTTAGATTTAACAGGCTGAGTATCTTCCACTTCCATCCTATTTTCATTATCTTCGTCATCGTCGTTGAACGGTCGACGGCGGATATTTCTCTTCGGTTTATTAAATAATGACATTGTCCTTAACATCAACCAGTCCGGTTAAATAATTCTCATGTACGCTACTATCAGTTTCTTATATGATTAAGAGTAAAAAAATAAATCGAAAATTTCATAGCACAGAATGCAAAATGAAAATTTGTTTAAATATACGTCCTTATAACCATATAATGTATTTTAAACTGGTAAATATGCGACGGTGACCACAAAAACGCGACACCTTTATGAAATTGTAATATGGATTATCCATTGAATAACTATCCATAGACAGATATCCAGGCAGATATCCTAAATTTGAGCCATGAATTGAAACACTTTGTTGTTTAAGTTACTGATTGGCTTGCCTTAATATAACTAGAATAAAATTTTTCATGAAAATAGTATTCTTAAGTGAAATAAGTGGAGCATCTAATACTATGTACAAAGTTCTTAGGAATCGAAATAATACACAATAAAGAAATGTCATATTACCGTATATGACTTTTAATTTTGATTGAGTCATGTCTGTATAGGCATTCGTATTCGCCATAAGTATTACCCGCAATAGCACTTCGTGTCAAATTCTTTCATTTATTATATCAATATTTTACTTGTCTTATAATTTTCAATGATTATTTATTACATTGAGGTTAAGTAACAGACTGTCATATGAGATATACATGTTTAACATTTATTTCTACACATTAGATATTAAAATATGAAGCTTGAAATAGGAAAGAGAAATATCTTACAAAATGAGCATCATTAAAATTTTTCTTTTCTTTTTAGTATGGTAGAAGATAAAAAATATGAAATTGGTAGCCGAATTGAGTGTGATGGACATCAAGGTACAGTAAAATACTGTGGCCCTGTTGGTGATACTAAAGGTTTGTGGCTTGGTATAGATTGGGATGATCCAACTCGTGGCAAACATAATGGCACATATGAAGGAATAAAATATTTTAAAGCTAGGTAAAACTATATAAAAGAGTGACATTGTATTATGCAGTAATTGAATAAATAAAATGTTTTATGTCTTAGGCATTCTACATCTGGTTCATTTATACGTCCAGGTAAAGCAAAATTTGGAATTTCTTGTCCAGAAGCTATTAAAATGCGCTATGGTCTTATCAATGATGAACTAGCAGGAATTGATAGAGATATATTAACAAGCTTACAAAAAGAGATCAATGCTCCATTTTTGGAAGTTGTTGGTTTCTCCAAAGTAAATAGAAAGCAAAGCAAGTTTGATCAATTAAAAATAGTGGGCTTGAGAGAGCAATATATTAGTAATGCTGGTAAGCCTGGTGAATTAAAAGAGTTATGTCCAAACATAGAGGAATTAGATATATCTAGAAATTTAATAAATAGCTGGCAAACTATAGCTGATATTTGCTCTCAACTTGATTCTCTTGTTCGTCTCAATGTTAGGTAAATTAACTTTTAATTAAGTTTATCTTTACAGAATAATTATTTTTGTTTAGTAACTCCTTTGTTTCTATTATTCTGTTTAGTGAAAATTATTTACTGACTGAAAAAAATATGAAAGTATTAAGTAATTCATTTTCGATGGTTAAATCTTTAACCATGGCAAGAATGAATTATGATTGGTTTGACATTCAACAATGCATGTGTATGTTTCCATCTCTTCAAGAACTTTCACTTTCTTTTAATATTGTCAGCATTATACAGAAGCCATTAGAGATCGATAATTCAATGAAAATATGTAAATTAACACTTGAAGGAAACTTAATATCCAGTTGGGGTGAAGTTCTTAAATTAGGTTCACTTCCGTGGTAAGTCATATAAAATCTATTAGTACACAAAACTACTTATCTAAAATTATATAAAATATATCAAACTCACATTGAAAACTTTGATTTTACAGCTTAGAATACCTTAATTTAAATTCGAATAAAATAGATAAAATAAGATTTCCATCTGTTGAACCAACTGCAAAAACTTCAGCCTTTTTTAATTTGCGACAATTGCATGTATCGCATAACAACGTATCAGAGGTAAAATAAGTATTTACATAATTATTTGAACGTTTTAAAGAGAATAACTTTATTGAAATTTATAGTGGAAATCTATATCAGAATTAGAAAAACTTAATAATTTAGAAGATTTAAAATTTAGAGAAAATCCAATTTTGAAAAATGAAAATATGGAAACTGCGCGTCAGTTAATAATTGCAAAAATTTCAAATTTACGATTTTTAAATGGTACTGAAATTTTGGACCATGAAAGACGAGGTGCGGAATACGATTACTTGAAACTATATTTATTAAGATGGACCGAAACTGAAAATAATCCTGATAAGAGAAATCAATTCATAAGTGAACATCCTCGATATCCAGCACTGGTCAAAAGTATGTCAAAATAATAATTGTTACAAACTTAATTACAAGTTCAAAAATTGAAATATTTATAATATGTTTAATATTATTTTTAGAATATGGAATTGCTGATATCCCATCATCTAAATCAAAAGTGGAAATGATATCTAATGTCATAACAGTAGAATTTGTATGTCCTGATCATCCAGAGCAGCCTAAAGGAATTAAAAGGAAACTTTTAAAAGACATGGAAGTTCAAAAAGTAATTGGACTTGCACAACGGCTTTTCAGAACTGGAGGAAAAATTCCAACACTCTCGTTCATACAGAAAAATGTAATTATACATTAGTTTGTACTATACATGTACAGCATGTTTATTTTATGTATTTTTTTAGCTTTCAAAAGACGAAATTCCTTTGGATAAACCGCTTCAAGAACTTAGTTATTATTCCATACAAGACGGAGATCAAGTTATTGCGAGGTGGTGATATTAAATGAATTGTTTATAGATATAATTGTATTTTGTACACTGTTAAAATCTCATCACCATACTTTGTTATTAAACTTTTTTAATTGCAAAGATATATATTTTATATCCTATTAATAATTTATCGAACTTAATTTTTTATATTATTAGATAGTAAAATTTAATTTTTTATAAAATTCGTAGTTTTAATAGCTTACAAAAATTATATATTATTAAAAAAATTATTTTTGTTACAATCTTTTATAATTATTTCCTTTTCTCACTATAATACAAAGTACAAACTACATATCGTATTTAAGAATGGCACAAACAATTTATTATAAATATAACATTAAAATATTTAATTTTGCTGTGCCTGTTCTTCTATTTTACCATATTCTTCTTTTTCAAGCTGTTCTCGTGTCAATAATGACAATCCTAATTGATTTTCGCGTGTAAATGGCTGAGCCATTTGACGTAACCAGCGTTTACTTATCTAAACATTATAACAGAACATGAATTAATGTTTATTTCGCAATTTGTAAGTTTCAAAACTTACCTGTACAGCCTCCTCGGTTGACAAGTTACATAAATTATCAGTTAGATGTTCCTGTATCCATTTTGGTAATTTACTTCGTTTATCTATTCTTGAAAATCTCTAAAGCAGAAAAAAACAAGTGAGGTGAAATAATTAGATGACTAAAAAACAAGATTGATTATTACCTTATCTGCAAAGACCATAATACCATAATCAGTTTTGCCTCTAATTGCTCTACCGACACATTGTGCCGCATGCCTCATCGCGTCAAATGTCAAAAAATCATTTTCTCTGATCTAAGAAAATAAACATATTATTGCTACCAATATTAATATTTATAAATTTCATATACCATATTATGTGAAAATTTACTTGAAATTGATCACGAAGATACTCTAATCGTGCTTTTAAAATACGTGATTGTGTATATACATAAGGTATCCCGAACATTAGGACAGCTCTTCCTAAATGATGATCGAAATCAACCCCTTCTGATACTTTTCCACGCGCTACGGAAAGAAGAACAGCGCCCCTTCCATTTTCGCAAGCCTTTATATAATTTATCAGAGCTAAACTCGTTTCTGCAGAATCTTGAGTTTCAATGAATAATAATTTATGCCTCTGCAGTTGATCCACCACGCCTTGGTCATACCTATAAAAATGCGAATAAAAATATGTATCCATAAACGTGATAGAATAGATACAAACCATGCAGCTACTACAGATTCCATGTAAAAATAAGAAGTGAAGAAACAGACTAATCCATCAGGAACAGTAGCAGCAAATTCAACCAATAGCTGGCCATAGTTTCTTATAACAGCAACATCTTCTCTTGTTTCATACTTTGACGAAATTGTAACTTGATCATTACCTTTTCCTACAATCTGATATTAAAATAACATTAACTTATTTGATAACATTGGTGTTTTAAAAGAATTAATATTAACTTACCATAGGTAAAAGACATGGTCTAGCTAATGTCATTGTGAAAGACGACATTATAACCGGGTGAAAATTTAAAATTTTAGGATACATATCTAATGGAGACAATGTTCCTGAGGTAATAACTACTGATTGAAACCGATCAAATATAGGTTTCATCGCAATTGACGAATCTAAACAACTGAAATGAAGAATCGGATTCAAAACTGTAGGCGATTTGTCATCAAACGGTTCTACTATGATCGTAAATCCTTTGGTATATGTAGAGACTAATGTTGCAAGATGAGTCACCAAAATTATTGGTGAAAAATCGGTTAGATCTGTTATTTCCATGGTACGTAAAAAAGAACCTAATCGTTCAGCACAAAATCGTAAAAGTTTACGTTCTATTGAAACTTTTGCTTGAACATCTCGTAAAAATGCAGCAGGCGATTCTTGAACAACGTGTTGTACACGTAAACGCGTTTTTAAATATTCTACAAATCGTTTTAAAAAGCAGATAAAATGTTCTGCATTTCTAATGTTACCAGGAACTACCTCTGTAAAAAATATGAAGTATAAATTTAGTTTATAAATACTTTAAGTTTAAAAATTATTCAGAATACAAAATTTACCTTGTAAAACTTCATCTGGTAAAACAGGATTAGCCAAAATAATGTCAGTTTCTCTTGCGACACGTGCGTCTTTTAATCCTTCTACTAATCTTTCGTATTCCTCTTTTAATTTATTTGCATCATCTTCTCTCATCCTAAGTTACAAATATTAACAATAATCCTTAATGTTATATAATTATACATGTAATATATAATTAAAAATTCAACTTACTCTGCCACTGTTTTCTCAAGAAATTGTATATTAGCAGAACTTTTTTCTAAGATTCTTCTGTTTATTTTTACACTCATTGAATCTATACATACATTATCTGCAATGAATACAATAGTTAAATTCTTTAAATTTTTATAATCTCAACGCGTTGACTGCAGGATTTGCTGAGAACTAAAGAATAACAAAGGATCCTCACGTGCCAAGCGCGTGAGCCGCGGAGATTATATTAAATATGAAATGCATTGTACCTATGTTGTGAGCTTCATCAAAAACTACTACAGAACTTTTGCTTAATTCTTTTGACACACTTTCTGCAATTTTAGGATCCAGTAAATAATGATAACTGTACACTACAATTTGAGCATGTAAAATCTAAAATTATATATCAAAGTTAGTAGGTCATTTAGTACAAACATTTACAACTTATTTTCAAAAATGCTTACTGTAAACCTTGCAAGAAAATATGGACACCAATTACGATCTCTGCCATATTCTTTCAAGTCATCAATAGAGTATATGCCTGGTGGCATCATTTGTTCTTTCCCCTCCATATCGAATCCTTCATAAAAGTTACAGATTGGTGTAGATTCATCATAATTATGTCTTTCACGAATATATGATGCTGTTAAAGCATGACAGCGTCCATCTACAATTTTACCTTCGCGTTCTCTGCTCACCTAATTCATACATTATAAAGATACTTATAACATTTTCAAATTAAATAAACCTAATATAAATTACCTCTGGATGAATGCACATATTTTTTCTTGAACTAAGTACCAGCCCAACAATTTTTGGTTTACTTCCTGCTTCTTTTTCATAATAATCCATAAGCTTTTTTAATTCTTCTATAACCTTTTCTATTTCTGGTACTGTACGAGAGCAATAAATTAATTTTGTAACATCTAATGGATTTTCCAGCATATATGCTACAATTAATGATAAAAGAGTTATAGTTTTGCCAGTGCCCGAGGGCATTTCCAACAAACAGTGCCCCTAAAATTGATAAAGGAAATTTTTAATAATTATGTAGTTATTATAATAACTATATAAAAGGAAAATGTATTCAATAAATACTTTTGCATCCAAGCCTCGCTTAAGCTCGAGCATATATGCATACTGTTCTGGATAAATATAATCATACGGAAAATATACAAGTAAACCATCAACGCTGATTCTGTAAATATAAATATGTAGTAAATATTTTGTTTTATAAAATGCAAACAATTCTATTAAATAAATGTCTATATTTACTTCATATTTCTATATTTTGTATTGCATAAAAAACAAATCTATACGTAATAATTTCATTTATTTAGATGTGCAAGGTTAGAGTTGCATGAATGTATACAACGTTACTCTAACGGATCGTAACGCATAAAAGCGAATGAAAGCGAGCACGTCAATTTACGCGCTTCGGCGGCTACATATGGTGTGTTCATAAAACAACATTTTTTGTAATGTTTCAAAAAATACATTTTGCAATTTTAAAACATTTTATACATGTAATATTCTTTGTATTCTATCGTGTTTTCTCATAAATTATACGAGGAACAAGATTGTTCTTTCATATAGAGTTAGAGTATGATTTTATTTTTCAATGTAAAGCATGATTAAGTAAATCGCTGTAATGAAAATGCATCCATATTCTTCCAGTTTGCGTACTAGCGACACTTGCGGACAATTTTGAAATTTTGCTGTACTGGTTCTTAAATTTTGTAACAAATCTTGTGATTGGTCTTTCGCCGAAATTCAACCGACAGGTTAAGAAATCTAACCAATCACGGTAAGCCTTATATGCACTTAATCCCGTTAGAAGGTACAAAGGAATGGTAGCCATTTTACGTGGATATCCCATTCGGCGTAGCAGTAGTATCCGCGTGATTATCGCGAAAAGTCAAAATAATCGTAATTCGGGATATTCCAGTTTTTCGAAATGCGTTAAAAAGGTAAATGTTAATTAGTGTCGCTTATAGTGTTTCCAATAAAACTCCCTCTAAAATGTGAATTCGTAATATTGAATGTCGTTTAAGTTAGCTTACAAGGCGTTAAAGAAATCCAGATGCGTGTTAGATATTCGTGTACATTTAGTATTTGTGTTAAACTTCTAGAATGTGCATGGACATTGCGATAACAGTGCAATAAAAATATTTTAATAAACACACTTCTATTAAATGAATGCAAAAAAAATCAATATGTGTTCACAGCCTATCAAACTTTTGTAAAATGATTCCAGATAATATTACATAAATAGAAACAGTAACGTGCTAATTTCTGTTTAGCTTGATTTTCTAAGGTCACTGATCTAATTATTTTGTTGTAGTACACAATGGGTGTTTGAAAGTTGTAGATGTGCTAAATATGATTTGTCCTATATTATTTAAGTTTAGTAAAAGTGAAATGGTGTAATCATAGAAAACAAGAAGTAATGGTGAACAAAGTTTTTGCATCACTTTCTTGCTTAAAAAACAGATGATACATTCTCTTGTATAGATATCTTATGTATTAGAATGATTTAATTGTATCGTACTATCATATTTATGTAACATAAATAATAATGTTTACTTAAAAGTTGTTACAATACTGATAGTATGTAACTGTTTGTCAATTTTATAGAACATGTATATCTGATTGTGTGAATTTTTAGCTAATTTAGCATTTATAAATGTTATGAATATCAATTTTCATAATTTTATAACATTTTGCTCAGAAAACAGTTTGTAAAAATGTTTTTTTTTTTTCTTTTTCATATTAAAGGCGTCTAAATGTTTATTAATATTATAGTTTAAAATAGACAAATGAATTCTTGTTACTCAGTTTAATATATTTAATTTAATAAAAAATGAATAAGAGATGTGTGTTTATTTTATTGCCTTCCTGTAATGAAAAGTATATGTGTTTATTTAATACCTGTTTTTGTGTGTCACAGTGTAATTATTGTCAATTTGACGAAGACTTGTTGCATTTATCAAGTGGCAACACAACAGCATGATGTCAACAAAGTCTAAGGAGATAGCTGATGAGTATATCTCATCTTTGTCTGATCTGACGATCAACAGCAAACCCTTGATTAATATGCTTACAATGCTAGCAGAGGACAACATTGAACATGCTCCAGCAATTGTTCAAGCTGTTGAAAATCATCTACAAAAGGTTATTTATCTATTGTAGTTATACGGAGATAATATAAGCAGCTTTGTATATTATGAAATACAGCATTTGTGTTTACATTATTGAACACTTGTTTAGTATTTTCCTTTTGTTTTTTGTTTCTTTTTTTTATAATTGATAGAAAAACCAGCTTTTTTTATCTTTCAGAACAATAATGCATTCTTTGTTATCCTTCCTTTGCTTAGATTATAGTATTATAGAAAATAGTTACATGTAAAAATATGGACTTCTGAAATAATTGTTTTATATTACATCATTTACCGATTTACAACTTTTCTTGCTTATTCTTCTCTTCATATATTATTATACGAAATAATAGTTTTAATTAATTGATAGTTTGAAATATAAACAAAATACATTTTATTTCAATAGGTGAGAAGTGACATTAAATTACCAGTGCTTTATTTGATTGATTCAATTGTGAAGAATGTTAACGGGGCATATTTGAATCTCTTCACACAAAATATTGTTAATACTTTTTGTGGAGTGTTTGAAAAGGTATGTTTCTCTGATGCATTTTCTGTTTAATCTAAAATTGAGTTACTATACAATGTACAATATAGTTGTATGTCATAGAAAGAAACGTACATTGCATATGTAAGGCTACTTACATATGCTGTTAGCAGTGCTATAAGATAATCATTTAGTCAATACAAGGTTGATGCACTTTCATTTGTTTGCCTTTTGGATATCATACACAAGTTCTTTTTTGTAGAGGAAAGTAACATAGAATTGAAAAGTATTAATTCTTATATAATTGAACAGGTGGATGAAAATACAAGAGCCAGCATGTGGAAATTAAGACAAACATGGAACGATGTATTCCCTGCAAAGAAATTATTTTCCTTGGATGTACGGGTACAAAGTATTGATCCTGCTTGGCCAATCACTGCCTCTCCTACTAGTGTTTCTTCAGGATCTATTCATGTTAATCCTCGTTTCTTTTCAATGGTGAGATTGATCGAGTTTTATACTTCAATAAAATTGTCCATTCGTATGTTCACAGTATATATTTTAACTGTTCCAGCCTCAGCAATCAACCCCAGCTATTGTACCACCACCAATTGTAGCACCTGTGAAGTTACCACCGGGTGATCCCGTTACGCCCACAGAAGCAGCAATGCGAGAACAGTTATTGAAAAAACAACGGGAGCTAATAGAATTACAAAAGAAGAAGATTGAATTGGAACTCCTTCAGGCTAAAGCTAATTTAGAACAGCAACAACGACAACTGGATAAACAAGCAGGAAATTTGAAAGCGGAATTGGTAAGCAGAAAGAAATTTCATTATTTCAATTGCACATTTAAAATGTATTAGAATTTTATTCACATTTATTTAAACATAGGCTACAGCTACAACGCATGTTACACCGACTACGGAAACTATCACTCAAGGGAAACCTGTTGCATCTACTACACCAACCCCAGCACCAAAGCAAGTAGCAAAACAGGTAATTATTTCATTTCCATAAACCTATTATACCATTATAGCGATGTACTATATTGTCTAACACTTCCTTTTTTTTTTTATGTAAAGTTTCCAGCAGCAACTGCTTCGCTTCTAAAAAACGCAGGAACGAATAATGGTCCCCGAATTGCTCCAGCTAGTAGTATAGCAGTTGCCTCAGCTAAGCCTGTATCTCGTGATCCAAGACTAAAAACTACCACCACTTCGGCTCAAGATGTACCGGTTACGTGTGTGGATCCTCGGCAGCGTATAAGTACACCAACTCAGAAGGATTCGCGGGGTGAAGGCCATACGCAGTTAGCGGCAAATACAAACACTGTACTTTCAGATCAATTAAAACAGCAGTTACTTTCGAAACAGGCTGTAACTAGCACTATCAACAAGTCTCCGACAAATCTTGCCGGCTCCGATACTGCGACGATAAACGCTAGTAATAACAATAATGCTAATACGAACCTCAACATAAATAATAACAATAAAAATTTCAGTGGTAACGCAAATAAAGATGCTGTGTCGCATCGAACAAGTCAAAAGAAAGACCCTCGATTGTCTAGTAATAGTAGTGGTAACCTAAACAGTAATAGTTCCAAAGGTTCTCAAAATTTGTCTGTGGGTAGTAATAGTTCTTTATCAGCGAGTAACAGAGGGGGTGGGAGTAACGATTCTAAGTCGAAAGATTCAAAGAGCACAAATTCACGGAGTACTTCGTCTTCGTCAATCGATAAATCTTCCACTTCCTCGAAATCCTCGCATAGGAAGCCAGGTAACAAGTCGCGATCTAAACAACCTCAAACATCCCCGAATAAGATACCGAAAATCGACCGAGATGCAAGCCCTGTTAGGTCGAAATCTCGTGAAAAAGACAGTGGAGACAGTTCACCATCCTTGCGTACTTCTCCCCAATCCTTTCAAACCTCTAAAAATCGAAAGAAGAATACAAAATCCAGAAAACGCAGTCCAAGCCCTCCGTATAGAATTCCCAGGCGTAACGATTCAAAATCAAATTCAAGTCTAAGCAGCTCCGGTGGTGTCACCGAGGAGGAACAATCTGGTTCATTAATAGTATCTCCTCCTCATCCGCCTACGTTTAAAGAAATCCGGCCGAATGCTAGACAGAGAAATTATGTAAGGCGAAACAAGGATGGCAGTCTTAGCCCCGTACGCTCTCCAGCAAATGCTGGAAACGTTCAAACTTCAGCGGAACCAACTTTGGAATCATCCAGTAAAGACGAAGATTTGAGAGCGACTCTACCTATTCCAACGGCAACTGCTTCGGCAACAGAAAAAAGTGAGTTAATGTATCATTATTTTTAACATAAATATAAATCGCTTACAGGCACGTGTGTCAAGCATTTTTATACGTTTCTTACCGGTGAGTTAACATGCAAGATACGTAGCTGTAATCATTTTGCTTTTTTACTTAATACTAATTTTTAGTCTCTAAGTATTTAAGTACAATCACGATTTCAGCCCCAATACTGTTTAATGCATTTTGAGGGTGAAATCATATTCTTTGTTTCTCTTATCTTGAACAAAAAATCTTTTTCATTTTCCAAGATATAAAACTAGCATGCAAAAAGCGGATGCAAAGAATCCTATATATTGGTAAAACTAAATATACATCTAATGCTTCTCGTTCCATACACGAGTTATTTCACTTTATTTCAAAATCTTTTTCAGAAGAGGACTTAGATCTACGCGTATTGCCACCGCCGGTTAATACCAACAAAAGACAAAGTTCCGAACATATGGAATCGACTTCGGCTAAGAAAACGAAAGCTGAAAAATTTGACGCGTATGTACTTTAATTATTTTTTTATAATTTCAGTATCTAAGATCGGTTAAGAAAAACTTTTTCTTTATAGATTATTTGGAAACGAAGATGTTGATCTGAGAACGTTAACTCATCCTAAAGCTGGACGACCACCAACACCTCCTCCGCCTGTGATATCTGGCGAAGATGGCAAAGATGGTTGGGCAAAACTGAAAACACCGTCGAAGAACGATAGAGAAAAGCAAGCTAACAATGCCGATGATAAACGTGACAGTCGTGATCGTAATAGAGACAGATTGGGTAGGCTTAGGCTTTATAATAAACTTCCGGATGATCCTAAAGAAAGAAGAAGAACGTTATCGAACGAAGATCAAGACGGTAGATCCGGTCGTAGGGGTCGAGAAAACGATAAGCCTGAGAAAAATGAAGATAGAAATATTGAAATAATAATGAAACAAGCGGCCGAACAATTGAATCAAGGTTCTATCACTAAAACACAATATAATACTCTTATTCAAGAGGTTTTACATATGAGCGAAGATCGTAAATTGAGAGCTGCCCAAAGAAAAGAAAAAGAAGTAGGTTCTATCGTTTGGGAGAAAGGTGTAAACTTAGATATAGCCGGTCAACCGGATCGTACGACTACTTTTAGCCCTTCTAATGATAAAGAAATACTAAGAAATAAAGATCATCCCATTCCAAGAAATCTGAATAGTCCTAGATGGCAGAATCAACCATGGCAGCAACCAGGACCGTGGGCTCATCCGCCAGGACCCCCGTACGGCGGTGGCCCGCAAGGACACTTTAATTCAGATTTCAGACCTGTCGGACCGTGGCAAAATCCAAGACATTTTGGACCAATGCGACCTGATTATCAGTATCATGGTGGGTTCAATACGATTGGTCCAAATCCACGTTTAGGCCCTGGAATGATGGGACCGATAGGACCTAATGGCCCGCTCATGTCAAATATTCTATCCAATGGCCCAATTGCTTCTATGAGTATGCCTAATCCTATATCGTTATCGGGTATGAACGGACCTGGAATGCTTATGAATAACGGACCAATATCGAATCTTATATCAAATACAAGTATATCTTCGTTGAACGCATCGAGAAATGCTTCGCCGAATTCCTCGTCGAAATACGATCTTGAAGATAACGATCAAAATTATACTACGACGATGATGAAAAATCAAAATCCTCATAGCCGTGAATTACCACCTCCAGATACAAAATTATTAGATGAAATTGCAAGGGACACTATGAAATCTATAAACATCGATAGCATACCACGTGAAATTAGATATTACGGTCAAACTGGAGTTGTTTTCATGAACTGGGATGATCCAAGAGAAATTGGATTCCAAGATGGTATACGACGAATTTTAATCGATGACAAAGATACTATTACTTGCGCATTTAATGATCAATATAAAGAATTTATGTACGAAGGTGAAGTTCACAGGTATGTGTATGAATATCATGGTGTATTATACGTTTTATTAACCCTTTAACTGTGGGTGTGGTGTATAAACAACATAGCGGCTGTGGCTTATATACCATTAAAATAAAAATAAATAGTACCCGCATTTAAAGGGTTAATATCCTACGCTGAAGCTTAGTGTATCATTAAAATTATTAAATGTTTACAGAATTAAATTGGGTGCTCCTACCAGAGAATTATACGTTGATGATCGATGGTACGAATGTTACTTTGGTGGTATGCCTGTAACAGTAGATCTTGGTGGTAAAAAAGTTAGTGTCAAATTGGAAGGACCTCCACCCCACGTTAAAATCGGCACTGTAAAGAGAACAGACTTGGTAGTTGCTAAAATTAATCTAATTATTAACGCACGGAACATGGTTCCTGTATTTTTGGATTCAAAGCCACAGATGTAAGTTTTGATATTACAATTTTTCTGTGTAAGGTTGATATATAAAACACCGCGCTTTTACTATGCTATAATGATATACAATTTTTACAGATTCGAGATCGAAGGAAAACCTCATACATTGGAATTCATAGATTCATTACAAACGGTACTTTTGAATGGTCGACCGTTTAAAGTTGAGTTCGGAGGATTGCCTAAGCCAATTATTGTTAGGGATAAAAAACATTTTATAAGATTTTCGGTATTACCGAGAGGTGTTCGTCCAGGGTACGTTAAGATTGCAGGTATGAAAGGTGAAGAACCTATCGAATCACCGCCCACGCCACCTTTAATGGCGCAAAAGCCGAAAGTAGATTCAACGTCTGCACCAGCACAATTCTCTTCCATTGAACCTGAATCGACGTCACAGGATGGTTCGGATCTAAGATCTACACCCAAACCGGGTAAATATTGTATTTATTACAGAAACATATTACGTAAAACGTATACTATGATATTAAAATGTACAGCTGGTATACTTGTTTTTGTAATATTTCATTAGACTTGTAGCGAAAACTTGTTTTCTTTCAGATTTACAATTAGACATGTTATCTTCGGTTTTACCATCAGCGATGGCACCAGCATCTGGATTATCTTATCAAGCTGAACCGGTGGAAAATCCACCTACAACTACGCCAGCATTATCGATACCTTTGAATATGAATGAGTTGTTCCAGAGATTAGTTGAAACCGGTATCGTACCGAATCTTTCTGAACCGAAAAAGCAAGAAGAGGAAGAAAAGAAAGAACCAGAAATTATCCCTGTTTCTTTTGATAAACCAGAAACGCTTAAAGTGTAGGTTTTTTTTTTTTAATTAAATCAATTGTTATTATATATGTAATTCATGTTTAATTTATATTAACTTTCTACATGAAATGCTTTTTTGCAGTAAACAACCGGCTATCGCCGCAGCATTATACAGTGGTATGCAGTGCAGTTCCTGTGGTGCTAGATTTGCGCCAGAACTAGCAACACGGTATAGTCACCATTTAGATTGGCATTTCAGACAAAATAGACGAGAAAGAGATTCTGCAAGAAAGGCTCATTCACGACCTTGGTATTACGACGTTAGCGATTGGATACAATTTGAAGAAATTGAAGATCTGGAAGATAGAGGTACAATTTAGTTTCTTTGTTTCTATACTTTAATCGTGTGAAAAATAAACGCAATTTTTTCCGTTTATTTCAGCACAAAGCTGGTTTGAAACAGAAAAGCAAACTGCGGATACGGAAGGTATTGCTGCGGAGGATTCTCCTCAAGAAGCGTTACAACCTAGTGTTCCTACTGGATCCGATGAAGATTCCAGGTGCCAAGTCTGTCACGATGCATTTGAACAATTTTATAACGAAGAGAAAGAAGAATGGCATTTAAGACCAGCAATTAATTTTGAAGGAAAGAATTACCATCCGTTGTGTCTTGATGATTACAAGGTAAGTTTAATTCTCATATCATTCTTTCCGTTTTATATGATTAAATATGTTAAAATTCGCTATCATATTTTCAATCAATATCGATGTGTTTATTAATGAATTTTCTATCTGTTGCATTCTTACAAAAAAATAGGAAAAGAGTCTTGTGGTATGTGCTTCTTAATAATTAATCATATATTGCACTTACAGAAAGTTTCTTCACTTATAAATATAGTGGAAATAATTAGGCACTAGAAAACGTAACGTAAATGCCACAACGTACTTTTTAATTTTATTTCTCTTTTTTCTTTAATATATATTAAGTATATGATTTATTATTGTATATTGATTTTCATTATTATTTTGTAAATAAGTAGTAATACAGGGTAATAAAATTAACTTAACAGGGTAATTAACTTAAAAATGAAGCTGGTACCTACACGTTACATGTTTGCACGTTTATAGTTGTCAGATCATATTTTACTTCATTTTCATACTGTTTATCGAAACTCAAGTTACTAATGTTACTCTGCTTGTTTGCACCTTTAGAGAGCTTTGGAGAAATCTGCATTAGCCCTTGAAGAAACAATTGAGGAGATGGAAGATGAGAAGAAAGAGAACTCCGATGAAATGTCTGCAGAAGAAAACAAGACTGATGAATTAACTGTAGAAGGGTTAAATACTGAATTCGAAACAGTAGAGCCATCGAGCGGAATAACGGAAGATAATGTATCGCAAGAAATGTTTGAAATGGAAAATGTAGAAGAACCTACGATTACAGATAAATTAGAACAAGCTGAAAAAGCGGAAGAGCAAGAATTAGAATCTAGTAGTAAGGAGACTGATGAACACACGGAAAAAGATGTTGCATCCACGAAAATTGAAATGGATGCACCTGAAACAGAAAATATAGACAAATCGTTTGAAAATATAAAAATTAAAGAAGAACCGCTTGATGAGCCTGAGGAACAACCAGAAGAAGAACAGTTCGATTTCAGTAATGTTGAAATTAAGGAAGAACCTGTTGATGCAGAACCAGGTATGTATTGTACATGATATTTCGTGTAGCTAAATATGTAATTACAAGAACTAATTTATTGAATAATTTTACGAATAGAACCTGAAGAAAGCATAATAAGCGAGCCTGCAGCGGTGGATACGACGTATGCTGCTGTAAAAAGCTCCATCGATGGAAATGTAGAATTGGATTCTACACCCGCAACAATGCCAGCTGCGCCATCTCGAATTAAAATTAACATTACAAAACCATTGTGTATTAATAAAGAACCGGAAGAATCAAAGGAAAAGGAAAAACCTGTAGTTGAAACACCTGCTGAAGAAATAATAGAACCTTTGGTGCCTGCCTCTATTAAACCTGCTTTGCAAGGTAGAAAACTGTCTGTTTTACCTCCTGTGGAGCGAGGGAAAGAGCTATCTGGACTATGCTCGATTATGTAAATAATGTATGTAATGTATTTGGAGTATGAGTATGTGTATGTGTGAGAGTGTGTAAAAAAAGATTTGTGCGATTCGAGTGTATTTTATGTTTAGCGCTACTTAAAGCTAAGTATCGATACATTGTACATCACATTTGTGCAACTTATACGACTTGATACAACATGGATTTTAAACTTTCTTATTTTTTTATTGTATAATTCGTTCTTCTGCACTTTCGTTTATATTTCGTACGGTGGGTTTTATTCATTAATTCACTAATACGGTGAGAAATTAATCGTTTCTAACAAGCATTATTCTGTTATTCAAATATCATGTCGTATAAGTTAATTATGTGTGTTATAATGTGTGGGAGTATTAGTGTATGCGTGTATGTAGTTTTTAAATTCTAATTAAGGTGAAAAGAGAACAAGAACTGTATATATTTAACGTAATCGAAATGGTTTAATTAGAGTGAGGTATGGTATAGTAGCATTCCCAAGAATATTGAGTGCAATTACATTTCGTGGCAGGAATATGTCAGAAATGTATACTGATATGCACAGGACTCGTCGAGAATTTCATACCGTTTGTACTTTGTAAAAATATTCGAATGATATTCGATATTGTTTTTTAGAAGTGTCAGCTCCATTATGATTTTACAAAGCACGAAATTAAGGTCCCGTGAGAAATAATGAAAAATTACCCAATTCAGTTAGGTGTACATACAAATTGTGTGATATAACATTGTTGACTATAATGTGTATATAATACCAACATTAAAATAATCCCGACGATATTGGGTAAGGAAAAAAAAAACAGTTACTACTAGAGGAGGATTATTTTGTTGTATAAAAAAAATCTTGTTAATTATTCGGGGTCTGATTTCCTTTGATTGCTTATTTATGATCCTAAATTCACCTATCTAAAATATCCTTTATGATGCTCGTGATTGCTGAAAAACTTAAGTTTAAATTTTTAATCATACAAATATTTCAAGAAATAAAAAGGTATTAATAAGAAAGTTATTCTTTAGTTGAGATTTGTTTCGATATTCAATAAAACTTATTTTCAGAAAAAAGATTTATCTAAGTTACTGTTTAATCCTTGTCCTTAATGTTGTGAGTTTTGTAGTATTGAAAGTTAATAAAATAAATTCAATAAATGTTGTGCTTTCATCTTATTTTTTTCCTATTAAAGTTACTTTTATTTAATGTTTTAAGAGCAAATAATGTCATTTAATGCGGGGAAATCACGTACACAACGGCCTTAAAAATTTTATTCATAAACTGCAATTATGGGGCCACCTCGGAAAAGGAAGAGTATCTTTGATATTTGGTATGTCAAAAAGACATTGTAAAAATCTTTCAAACCCCATTCCAAAACCCCCTGTGGTAACATTACCATATTTACGAAGCTCTAAATACCAAGAAAGATTAGATGTTACAGGTAATTTTGATTTTAATTTTTCATAGTCATCTTCACGTATACTTCCTCCTACTAATTCTCCTACAATTGGTACTAAAAGATCCATTGCAGCAACCTTTAGAAAAAAGCAACATATATATACCCTTACAATGCTTATTGCTTTAAAAAGTTATATTTATCATTCTAATAGTTTTTTTACCTTTGAAGCATCATTTTCACATTCTTTCATATAAAAAGGTTTACTTTCTTTTGGCCAATTTATAACGAATATAGGAACATTGTTGTTATGCTTTACTAAAAATAATTCATGCTCCTTAGAAATGCCTGTTTCAAGTGTAACAGGCTGTTGAAAAGATTTCTCATTATTCTGTAAAATATCAATTGCCTCATCATATGTCATACGTGTAAAGTTTTCATTCAGCCATTGTACTTCTGGGCACTTCATTTCATGGATGTCAGAAGCACCTTTTTCAAGTATATCTTTAGTTATATTTTTTATCAATAGTTCAACTTCATCCATTATATCATCAATACTATTAATAAATGCTAACTCAGCTTCTAACATACGAAATTCTGATAAATGTAATCTTGACTTAGAATTTTCAGCTCTGAATGTTGGTCCAAAGGTATAGACCTTTGTAAGGGCTCTGAAAAATTTTAGAATTTATATACAACTTAATAACCTGATAATTTTTTACTAATAATTACTTGAAAAATTGTGTACCTCGCAACAGCCTCTAAATGTAATTGCCCAGAAACTGTTAAAAATGCTTTAGTATTAAAATATGATTCTTCTTCTGTAACATCCTCTCTTTTCATTGCTTTTAATATTGCTTCAGAAGATGGTTTTACCAAAAACAATTCACCAGCACCTTCGCAATCATTTGAAGTTAAAATAGGTGTATGGACATTAATGAAACCTCTATTTCTTAAATGATTTTGAATAGATACAGATGCTATATCACGTAACCTTAGCAAACATGAAAATATCCTAGTTCTCGGCCTCAAATGCAAATACTTCCTAATGTATTCCTCGGCATATGTTTTCCTTGGAGCAAAAGGATATCCATCCATAACATCACATGAACCAATTACAACAAGATTGTTTGCGTGTAATTCGATTCTACCATTTGGAGCTAAAGCTAACTTGCCTTCTGCTGTGATACTACTCCCATAACTTAAGTTATCTGGTTTATTATCTGTTGGTACGACAACTTGTAACATTTTAGCAGTTGATCCATCCGTAATATCAATAAAAATATTGTTTTTCATCTTTCTGAGTGCACGAACCCAACCCTAAATTTGCAAAGTGTTCCGACTGACATCATGAATAACAAGATGTAAAACAGCAAATAAAAAGAAAATTTACGCACATAATATAAGAACTTTTGTAAAATTCAAGATTTAGGAAAAACTAAACATTAAAGCATTACAAAAAATGATAAAACACGAGCTAACCTGTACTTTTATAAGTTTTCCAGCATTACTTTCCAAATCAGTATCATGTATTCGTAACATACTATGTACATGGCATTTAGGAAAATTAAAATTAGCAAGCAATAAGCTTCTATTGAGTTTCGAAAACATTTTAAGTGACATATTTTCGCAATATTATCAAAGTAATTAATGATCTATACCAATGACTACAGATGAAAAAGACTGGACATGTTTTTGTTCTCGAAGGGTTACGGTTTGGAGGGTTCTAAACAGCCCCAAGTGAGAATAGATCTACATGAGCACAGTTAGTTTGACATTCGTGGCGGTCTTACCATACCTCGCAATCACTACTCAAACGCCACGATTTTGTTTTCCTTTGAATCTATTTTTTTATGAAACAAGACCGAGAAATTATTAAAATAATTGTTTGACAAACTTGTATTTTAAAAAGACCGCCAAAAACAGCTTTTTAAAAAATTCGATTCCAACGCCATCTATACAAAAACGGCGCAAACTACTCAACGAGTTATCGATCGATTTTTTGAAACAGGGAGCACTAGCGCCACCTATCAAACCCTTGCGGAAACTATTCGGCAAGTAGTTTCAGCGGGTTCCCGATAGATGGCGCCAATGTCCCGAGTAATCTATTGGTAACTCGTCGACTAGTTTGCGCTGTTTGTGTACAGATGGCGCCACAACCGGAGAATAGAAATATACTCTCCCCCTCTTTTGACGTCTGAAGACAGACGCGTGCTTCCGCGGGAAGCGGCTAATTTATACCGGCGTCACCCCGGCCTATTACCGCATATCCAGTCTTGTCGGAAATGTAGTAATTTTATTTTTGAATTTGAATGTATTAATATCATAATAAATGAACATTTAATGACTTTGTAAAAACAAAGAAAAAACAGAAAAATAGCACTCCTATATATTGATGATTAATCAAATATTTTATTCCATTTTTATTTTTTTATTTGAGAACAAGCTGAAGAGTGAAACGCTTTTCATATTAACAGTGAGTACGATAGGCTAGTTAGCAGGGTTGAATTAGATCTTTATTTGGAAGATACATAGGTATTTATAGGATAGTTGAACATAACTGTAGATGGAGGTGATTAAACACAAATGTACAAACGAAATACAATACGGTACTCCTCATCGTGTGTTTGGCGGTGTGAGCATGGCTTTTTTTTGTCAGTGGCGCACTATTCAAACACGCCTTCTTTGTTTCTAGTCAGTAATTGTACACTCGACTTACATGCTAAAGCTCCGCACTATCGCTTCTCTTTTTTTAAAAAATAATCATATATTTTGCGATAAAAAAAATCAGGTAATGTTGCTTCATAAACTTGAAATTGCACTGCAATCTCTTTTACTTGGTCAACTGCGGGGCGACCGTGAAGAATTTTGAAATCATTCAGAAAAAAATAGAATGAAGGAGCGATGTAATTCATGGCAATGAAAAAGATTTTTAGAAATTCACATAATACGTAAATCTTTTTATTCTTTTTCAAACTACTAAATCTCGACAACCTTAATTCTCTAAATGTTTCACAGATTCATAGACCAAAAATGGAATATGAAATAAAGAACATATAGAGGGTGAGTCACTGGAAACTGTCAGCTAAAATTTTAATTCGTTGATATTAGTTATCACGAGTAAAAAATGTTAGATATCAGTTTTTAATGACTCACCCTATATAGTACTAGTAGAAGGCATTGCTCACTGTATCCTCTTTTTTCCTGGTATCTTAAAAAATTCTCTAGTACGATGCGCCGCAAGACAAAGAGATGGTCGTGCAGTTCATCTATTCGTGTAATCATTTTAACGTTATTCGTTAACACATTTTTACGTGTTGTCTTTGCGTGAAATGCTTGTATGAGTTCTCATTTTTTTTTTTTGTATTTTTTTATAATAAAATTATTTTTCTAATCTTTGTTGATCAGCTGTTGTTGCCCTGTGAAAACTGCCTTCTGTCACAACACAATAATACTTGCATGGTGGGTTCACGCTTCTGAATTTGGTTGATCTTTTATATCACAATGTTACGCATAACCTCTTCATTAATATTAGTAGGTTTTTCCTTTGATAATCATAGATACCAAATTCAAATGCAAAATTTTGGTTATTCAAAAGTCTTATTCAGGAAATATCCTAAGCCGTAGTAAAATACGTTAGATATTCTTCTTTTTAGTATCAATTTTATATGAAAAAGAGAAAAACAACTGAATATAATGTAAATCTATACATTTTTTCTTTAATATCATTCATGTATATGAAAACAATTAATTACTTGTTTATGTTTTTTGTCTTATGTATTTTATAAAACTCTTAAACAACCTAGAATGTTGAAGTTATTTCACATATTAAAATCGTCAGATCTTACCACTTAGAATAAAAATACGACTTAGGTTTTATTCATAAACAGACGATTGAATTATAGTATTATTTATAATGTTTCGCTGTGCATTGCTCTATCGTATCTTTATTATTGTTGCGTGTGGGGTTTACCACGAGGCGTGTAACCCCCACGATTTCCTCCCCTTTGACCGCGAAACTGTCCTCGGCCACCTCTATCAATACCACGCTCACCTCGTGGACCGCCTCTTGGTCCACCACCGCCTCTTTTATAACCAGAGTTGTAACCACTATTTCCTTCGCTATTTCCCCAAGAACGTTGCTGGTAACCGTTTTGATAGTTACTATCGTTACGATAGTAAGCTCCTAAAACAGAAATTATTGGTTATTCAATGCACTGAATACACTGAATTTTTTAAATATTTTTTACCTTGTCCTCCACGTCCATTTTGTTGATAACCACCGCCCCTACCTCTTCCATTGTAACCGTTAGAATTACCTCTTCTTCCACCTCTACCTCTGTACCCACTACTACGCTGTTGATCACCCCAAGCTTGCTGAGTTGTTTGCTGTTGCGTTTGTTGTGATTCTTGAGCAGATGTCGGCGACTGATCCGTTTGGTTCCAATCGTTTATATTTCCAGACTCAGCCATCTGACACCAATCTACAGATTCATTTGGTTGTTCCAATTCTGATTCTGGTGCAGGTGTTTCTTCTTGAGTTTCTTCAGACTTTTCCTAAATATTTCAGTACTATAATTATTACAAAATATTAAAGATTAATGTACAGACAGGCTGCGACTATAAATACCTCGTTAGGTGGTTGCTGACTTTCTTGTGAATGTTCAAAATTCTGTGCTTGTGCTGGTTGTGAAATTTGTGGTGCAACAGTTTGCTGTGGTTGCTGTTGCTGTTGTGGTGGTGGTGGTGGTGGTGGTGGTTGCTGTTGGAAATTAGCAGGATGTTGAGGACTGTATTGAATATTTGGTTGCTGATGAGATGGTGGCATTGGAATGGGCGGAGGTGGGTTCGGGTTAGCAAATCCAGGAATGTGGGACATGTCCTGCGGTGGTTGATGCTGATATATAACTTGTTGTGCTACTACCGGTGCATTTGCAAAGTTTTGATTTGTAAATGTTTGCGAAGGAATAGGTGCATTCACAGCAGCAGCAGGAATGTGTGAAACAATAGGTGCTTGAGATGTAACATCCGGTGAATCAAGTTCAGATTCTTGCAGGAAAAAGAAATTTGGTGTGCCTATAACGTCATTAATTCTCGGTGCCTGTGGAGGTTGTTGCTGTGCTGGTTGTGCTTGCTGTTGTTGCTGTTGCGGTTGTGGAACAAATCCCGTAGCATTTGTGTAATATGACGTATCAACCGGTGCTGCTGGATGCGGTGGAATAGGTTGCGCAACTACAGGAATAGGGCCGGAAACTGGTGTAGCGCCAGAAACAACAGGAAGGGGAGCAACTTGTACTGGAAAATTAGGAATGGGAATGATGGACTCTGGTGGAATGTGTCTGTCATTGCTATTATACTCTTCATTGACTTGTTCCTGTGCAGGAGTTTCTGATATTTGCGTCTCAGCAACTGCTTCTGTAACCTGAAAAGAATAATATTATAAAATAATTATTAACATTATATTTAAAACTGTAACTTACCTCTTCCACTACAGTTTCAGTTTCATGGACTTGATCAAAATACCCGCATTGATTAATAGAAGTAATAATTTCTTTCAATTTGTTGTAAGTTGTACCAACAACTTCTCTTGGTTTTCCATCAACAATAGCTACATAATGTTCTGCTACTTTCTGTACTTGTTGAAGAAACGTTGGTTCACCTTCCTCTCTTTGATGTTTCATCATAACTTCATTATACAGACTGTCCAAACTCTTTAAATCTTGTTCTGATAATTTCACTGCACCATTTTTGCCAGCAAGAAAATCTTCTCTAACAGACTCTGTACCCATGTTCATCAGCGCATCTTGTATAAGGAGAACTTCTTTCACCTATAGTAAATAAATACAGATCATTATAACATAATAAGAAAAAGAATTTTTGTTATTAACAAATATATAAACATCTACCTTTGCAATATCCTGTTGTGTCCTTTCAATAGCCTCTTTCCTTGCCAATTTTTTCTGTTGCTTGGCTGCATCATGAGCAATACCAACAATCTGTTTGTATAATTCCTTTGTAATATCCAATGTTTGTAACACTTCGTCGTATTTAGCCACTGCTGTTTTTTGATCTGCGTTTAGTTCCTTTCCATTATTCTGCAGTTCCCTATATGACTCTAACTTCACCTAAATGTAACAAGCAATCTTAATTTTGCTATCAAATTTTCTATGATATTTAACTACTTTATGTTCATAGAAAAATAATTTTTCTTTGTGACTTTCTTCTAGAAAATTGTATTCAAATATTAGAAACAAGGATAAACGTAAAATTTCTCGCCGATATATTAAGCTTAAACGGTTCATAAATTCGAACTTTATATTTAGATTATTAATGTTTTACTAAACAAAGAATACTATTACACAATCTAATTTACCGGTAGCGACCTGAAAGCGTGTCGTGTAAAGTTTAGTGCACATCTTTAGAAGATACCGCCATGATACGAGATTCATGATAGCGAATTTAACCGTTTAATTATACAAGAAACAACTATTCTGACCCAACTCAGCTTTACTGAATAAAGTTTAATGGTAAAAAATCATAATGAGTGTTGGTTTCTTAATGTATAATCATTAGATACCTACGAAATCTCAAGCGTGAGAGCACATGGCATATCCAATCATGGCGGAATGCACCGTAAAAGCCACCAACTGACAGATAGTTTTCTCATTGTTATTCGCAAATATATTATCCAAATACTTACCTTACGCTTTTCAAGATTTCGTATCTTATGTTCGATAACGATAATCGCCTGGCATATAGGATCTACGGTCTCCGTAGAGGCCTGTTTTCCTAGTTTAGGGTTGGCAGAAGGCATCCTTCACGGGCAACAAACGCGAACTGGAAATCAGAATAGCAGCGGAATTACGGGGTACGGGGAAAGAGAGAAGTGATTATAGGCGCATGGCGCATGCTCATTTTGAATTTGTACATAACCTATATGTCAGGGCCGTGACAAATTTTCTAGCAGAACCCCTTCCTGAAAACTATTTAAATTAAAAATTACCATGTTACTACAACCCTTGATATTATTAACTTCCTTTATTAAGATATGAAAATTACTTATTAGTTTATAATGTTAGTTTCTTTTTACATGAAAACAAATCCTTTTAAATAATTAAAAATACTATTACTTGCTTGTAAAGCCATGAATTTATGTCAAATAACATATATAAAATAAGTAAATTAATAATATTAATACACAGTTTTATAACATTTTTTTAATTTTATTGAAAAAAGATTAATAAAAACATAAATTATGCGAGTAATAATCCACTACTATATAATATATATTTTGATCATATTTTCTTTTTTAAATCTTGATAACAGAAATACTGTAATTTTATAATTAAAAAACTATACTTAATCTTCACTATGATTAAAAAAGTAATAAGTTTACAATTGAACAAGTAAACATACATTTTTGTTTCTAAAAAAAATATAGTATAACAATATTATTGACTTCTATAATGTCAGAAATAACAATTTCAAGCTAGTGCTATACACAGTATTTCAACTTATAATATTCGTATTATTTTCACTCAAATAAATGATCAATAACATAATTATAATGAATTTACGACTAGAATAAATCCAAATTGTTAACTAAATCGAATACATATATATAGCACTGGCTTTCTTTTATTAATATGAAGTATTGCATGGCACGTTTACCAAAAACAAAATGTCTTGTAACTGGATACTTTCCTTTATTGTTACTGCGTCAGTGACCAAATGCCCGCATTTTTAGGTTTCAAGTTCATAGTTTCTTGAAATAATTTATTTTACAACTCGGTAATCCGATAGTGATCGCTAATACAATGATATTGTAATTATATCAAAGATGTTTAAAGCTCTACGGCTTCATTATAGCAGTCACCTGTCCTTACTATTATATTTTTATAATTTACAAATATAATTTGATATATCGTCTTTGAAAAATACATTCGCGCCATACACGCATATCACCACTCTTGTTTTTAGAGAACACCTTCTTTCTTAACAAATCTAAAAACAGATTAAAAACTTATAAAACTTAAGATTTAAACAATTATAATAATAATAATAATAATAATAATTATAATGAGGACGATCATAAAAATTGTTATAACATAATAATATGAATGTGATTTAAAACATATTAGTAAATATTACTCTATTAGTTAAAAGGTTTTCATCACTTATTGGAAGGTACAGAAGCGTTTTAATTACAAAACGTGTCAAATTGTTAAAATTTACAAAACGTTTATAACAAAATCAAATGCTTTCCTTACAAAATGAAAATTTATTGAAATAATTAAATTGCATAAACCGTATTGCAAATTGTAGACACTTTCAAATTAGAAAAGCAAGCCTTTGATTCAATTTAAACAAGTATTTTTTTATTAATATTTGTTCTAGTACTTATTTATTCATGTGAAGGATTTGAAAAGGAAAATATGACATCAACCTTAATAATAGAGAAAATAGTAAAAACTTTAATTTTGTTCAGAAGATCAAAACCTTAAGCACTGATATTATGAGATTTTTTTATGAAAATAGATACACTTTCTTATGCAACATTCATTCATACTTCATATACAAATACATATGTTATTAAAGTCATAAGATTATTCACAAAAATAAATGTTCTGAAGTCATGGTAATAGTTGACGTATTACAAAATGAGAATGCTGAAATTGCTTTAAGTTATTTATACATATTTTAACGTGGAAGAATTTCAAAACTTAGTATTAAATCATTAGGTTATTGCAATGGAAGAATACATTTAGTTAATGCAGATGGCATCCCAAAACATGAATGGAAAATGCATAAAAAAATATTTTTAATTTTATAAAAATTTACGTACAGATGTTCTATAAGATTTCTATTGTTTCTCTATAAAAGAACGATACATATTTTCAGAATATTGCATTTACCGTAAAGTGTTTTTATTTAAAAGAATAAAAAAACAGAAATGCTATTTTGGAACACTTCTGAATATTTTTAACGTATTTTATACGGTGTAAATTTTAGTTATATGCCTATATACAAATTAACATGAGCATAAATATTGTTTACATTTCTTAAATCATTAAAAAAGGTAGATGTAAGCTAAAAAGGAAATGCATAATGAATTTCAAAATTACAATTAGAGGAACAAACAGCATAATATTTCTGCATTTTGCAGAGAACAAACCTTCATGGCTTTAAAGAATGTGATGTATGTAAATATGTTACAGAAGGTCGCGACGTATAATACGTCATATCACTTTGTATATTTTATCCTAAAATCATTTGTCTTTCGTACTTTTTCAGATCTTAACATATCAGACCTCGATATCATGTAAGATTATCACGATACAAATGCTACAACTAAATGTTTATACACACAAACATTTGTAAATCTCTATTATTATGCTACTACAATGGCAAAGTTTGGGCTCATTTCTAATTTATACGCGGGGGAGAATATTTTACATAATGTCTGGTGTTTATACGTTAATCATTTTCTTACTTACCTCTCTGTCCACTACTTCTTATCACTATAACTATAGTTTCTTGATTACACATTAACATTAACTTCACCATTCGGCACAGCATGTAGTATTAACTCAAATTAAATATTTACCATCCTCAAAATACAATATTCAATCGTTTGGTCTGGAGACTGGTATTAACTTTTATATTCATAAAATCGATATATCACTAAACCTTTTAATGGTCTTGAGACATTGTACATAAAACAGAACCAATGATCATTGTAGCACCACTAAGATGGTATACTGCCCATTTGCACATTGCAAGACACTGTTTCAGAACTATCTTCAATTTTCTGCGTAGGCACCTGTGAATCGGAAATATTAGCAGTCGTTTTAGTTGCTTCCATTGTTGAAACATTTTCAATTGTTTCCTCCGTATTATTTAATAAAGAAGATGAAGTAGATTTTGAACTTGATTTCGTTTTACTTTGTTGTTCCAGATTATCTATCTCTGCCCAGATAGTCCTAACTTCCTTAAACAACTGGAACATAATTTTTTTTATTGTATTAATCATAAAAAGTTTGCAGTATATAAATGTTTTAAAAATACGTTTACTACTTACCTGATTTAGCCATACTTCATCCGCTAGGAGTTCGTTTAATATTATCGTGGTATCTTTATGTGGATCCGCAACTCTTTTATCTGCTACTCTTCTTGCACATTCCAAAAACATTAAATATTTTTGATGTGCTACTTTATTATACAGAGCGACTTTTGCTTGACATATTCGACATAATAAAAAATCCTAAAAATCAAACGGTTAACTCAATTATAAAAATAATTTATTACACGGTAATCAACGAATTTAAATACCTTTTCTTGAGGTACTCTTGGATCAGGCGGAGAGCCTTCTAATGTAGTTACGTTATATGGTTGACCATACAATAATACTCTGGCATGAATGTTAGGCTGCTGGCAACCGGCGCACGATTTTCCTTTATATTCTGCGAATGGTAAATCCTTAAGAACATTAAGGCATGGCCAAGTTGATATTGCATTTATAACATTTGGTCGCCATTTTGTTGTTGATAAAAGACGTTGTTTCCTATCTTCTGTTACTTCGTCTACAGTTTTAACATTTGATAAGAAATAATCATCTGGCAGAAATGAAAATAATTAGATTAGTAACAAGATTTATATGCAAAAATGTATTCGATTGGATATAAATGATACCTTGTTCTTGAAATATTTCTGTAAGAAAATTAGAATCCAAAGCTTGTGAGATCAATGTTTGTATATATACCTCAAAATTATCTCGATATTTTTGGGTGTCTTTCATAGACTTATCAATACATTCCCTAAAAAGTAAAGAAATGCGATAACCTTTTTTTAAATTTAATCTATTTGTTAAGTTTTATTAAGATAGACCTACTTATTATTAATAATCATTTCATCTTTTAAGAACTCTACTATGGTTTCCGTCTTTCCTTGTTGCCAAAACTTTACTGGAACCTGTTGATATATGTGTCGATTTTGTGGTGCCCAACCCGAGTACTGGGAACGTAATTGATATATTTATATATTGAAATAAAATAATAGGAATTTCATAAAAAAAAAAAGTATTTTATTTATTACCGTCGATATGTTTCTATATAAGGTTTTTCCATTGGACTTAAATGGTTCATACTTTTGAAGCAATGTTTTGCCATCTATTCTCCACAGTGCAGGATATTCTTCATTTAGGTCTGCTTTGATAACAACAAATTCTCCAGACTGAAAAACACACAACAATGATGTGTTTATATTATAAAATAAACTACAATCGAACTAAGCAATTAATAGTAAACAGAATATTAATGAGATGTTTAAAAAATAGTATTTATTACATTCTATTGATATACTGTTTTATAAGATTACATTTATAAGAAAATTACCACGTCTTCTAAATTATCCTCCGAGTGCTGCATGCAAGATATGAACAAGATATGAACACACAGCAACGTACACATACAAATATTACTTGAAATCAATATAACGTGCCAATTAAATGGTATACCTTAAATGGTGAAATATCAATGTCTTCGTCGCTGATAGATGCTAAAAGTTTTTCATCTATTTTACAAGATAACTTTCCAGTAACACCGGAACCTTTAGATGTCTCGTTTCTTTTCCTACTCGACTTCTTTGATACAACATCACTAGTGTAATCAGCTTCTTCTATAATTCTTCTGCTCTTTTTAGTAATAACGGGTCTCCCACGTTTTTTCTTCTTTTCCTCTTCATCCCCAACCAATTTTACAGCAGGCGTCCAAGCAGGATCCGAATCAGAATCACCCTGTTCTTCGTCATTATCAAAGTAATCTATACCCTGTTGTCGATCTAGAAATTGTTTTACCGAAGTTTTTTCCTTTGCTTTTCTTCTAGATGTTTCACGCCTTGGAGGTAAAAGTAAAGGATCTACTGTAACAAAAATGTATTCGATTATCACGATAAAAAAAAGAGAAGATATACGTATACATTACCTTCTTCATACTTTTTTGAAGCTTTCCCCGTTGAAGCTGCTTCCGCCGCTGCTGCGGCTGCTCTTCTTTTTCTATCCGTTGGTCCTCCGGGTTTAATTGGTCTTCCTTTCTTAGGCTTACCTTCCGTTAGTTTTGTAATCGGCGATTCCATCGTGTTAGATGTACTTGTATTTGTCGTCTTTTTGTCTTTTTTAGGAGGAAATAGAAAATCATCGTCACTAGTGAATCCATCATCGCTTGAATCAAAATTTTGTTTTTTCCGTTCTTTTGGCAAAGGAAAATATCTTGGGTCATTAGCATAATCAATTACTGGAGTTTCTTTAGGGGCCGGTGGCTTTTCTGGTTGTGTCTTTAATGTTTCCCCATTTATCGAACCCTCTATAGGTTTATTAGCGTCTACTGGGATATAAGGTTTCGACCTGCTCCAAGATGCTTTCCTCCCACCACGAATTGCAGGTGGAGGCGATGGTTCCCTTTCGCCTTGCAAAAATTTCAAATAACTTGTCATAAATCCCGAATTAGGATCTTTATTAGGTCGCTTGAAGTCTTTACTTAACGAATTTATAGTCTGAATCGGTTGTTGATTCTGCTGTAAAAACCTTAACTCTTCTTCGATATTAGGAACAATTACTTTAGGTTGATCATCTCTTACTTCTTGATTATAACTAGCATTTTGATTTGTTGTATTTTCGCCAAAAGCAATTGGCGTAATTTCAACGGAAGATTGAAACTCGTGCGGATGATGGTGACTCGGAGGAATATGAAAAGCAGGAAAATATGGAATAGGTGGTGGAGCGTGATGATGAGGAACCATTAAAGACTGGTGTTGATGTGCCGGTGTACCAACAAAATTACTTGAATGGTGCAAAGTTGATTGCGAACTAAAAGCACCCGATGCACCAGGAAACATTTTAGCAGGTGGCGGAGGTAAATTCCATCTTTCGAAATCAAAGTAACCGTTCTGTTGTTGCTGATTTGCGTTATGATGAGCGGGCGGTGGTATCCTACTTAAATATTCCGTCATCGTCGTTGTCGCTCCAGTTGTTTCATTTAAAGTGCTGTGTCCACTTTTCTCCAAACTTTTCCTTTTCTTATTGACAGTCTCCACTTTACGTCGATCTTCCACGTGCTTCTGTTGTTCAGGCGGAGTAACAGAAACAGCAGCTTGTTGTTGCTGTTGCTGTTGTTGTTGTTGTTGTTGCTGCTGCTGCTGTACTTGACAAGAGCCTTGTTGTAAAGTTTGCAAATTCTTCACTATACTCATAGGATCTCCTCTACAACTGCTCAAATCTTGTAAAGTTACTTGGTTGGATTCAAAATATATTTGTTGTCTATCAGAAACATTTAATACTCGTTGTACTTGTTGAACCGGCAAATTTTGAGGATTTACATCAGCAGTTCCACCGGTATATAATGTAACAGAAAATTTTCTATTAGCGTTTGGTTGTCGATTATCGTTTTCCCAGCATACCTGCTTTTGTGTTTGGGAAAAATCTTGTTGTTGCCTATCATAATTTTTACTATCTGTATTATAATTTGACTTATTTTCAGTATTACCCAGAGCCCTCGTAATTACCGACGAATAAACAACTTGTCCTTGAGATGCTGGTCGTGGCACGGTCACGTCCAACGGTGATGGCGGTGTAACTTGTTGTTGTACAGTACCTTTGTACTGTGGCCCACTTACACATTGATTTCCATTCTCCGTGTGTTGTTGTAAAGGCGAAGGGGAAGAAGATATTGTAGCCATTGGACTATTATACATAGGGTAAGCAGGACTTGGAACATGTCCTAATGGACTTGCTTGTGAATGTGCCTGCAGTGGACTTGGTCTTCTAGGTACAACAACACCACAGTCAGGTCCATTCTGGGTGGAATTATTAGAAGAATAAGCAGAATCGTTAGAAGTTGCAGATTTTGATCGCCCTGGATGATGATATTCAGAGTCACTAGCAGTTCCTGTGAGGTAATGCCTATATGATGTTTGCTGCTGCTGCTGCTGCTGTTGATTTAAAACATGAAACTGTTGCTGTTGCTGCTGTTGTTGTTGTTGCTGCTGTTGTTGGGCTTGTTGAGGATGAGTCTGTAAGTTACTGTTTGACTGAGTCCTTTGATTATTACCAAGTTTTCCACTAGCATTTGTACACGTTGTATTATTTCCAGCAGTGTAGTTTAAGCCACGCGAATCCATGATAGAAAAACTAATAGGAGACGATTGGGTATTATCATGCGATGCTTGTTCATTTTGTCTATGCTCATTATGAGTACTTAATTCCGGATATATTTTTGTCTGTGCTTTAGTTTGAATACTTTGCTGAGACGTGGAAATTGCTTTATTTGGCGGTGAAGCAAAATTTCGCGTCGACTGTTTATCTTGACCTTGTGAAGGCACAGATCTGACAGACGTATTTAAAAATATAGTAGTTGATGTAACCGACCGAGCAGGTGGTTGAGGAATTCTGTATTCTTTACTGACTGTATTGTTTGGAGTTGAAACGATACACGATTGTTGATGTTGAAGAGAAGGTTGCACCTTTCCATTAGGAGTTTGATTTCCATTACCAGCTGAATAATTATTTGTCAATGTATCAGAATTAAACGTAGTAGGTACTTGTTGAAAGAATGTTTGATTGCTGTTTGCTTGAGATGTAGAAACCACTGATTTGACACTAACTGTTGGTGACTGAGGTCTCATATTCATTGTTTTCTTGCTATCCGGATAACTAGATGATTTATATTCAGAAGATGCGGGCAATTGTGAATTTAAATTATTTATAGTTTGCGTTGTGGGAAAATGAGAATTAAACGTATTTTCATAAACTCCGCTAGTTGGTTTTGTAGTAGACGATGGTCCTGGCGACGATGGAACAACAGTTTCATGAGGTAAAATACCAAATGGGCTGGGTAATTGTGCATTATTTTGATGAGTCCAAGCTAATGTAGATGTTGTAGGTGAGGTAGCTGCACCCTGATGTTCAAAATATGTTGACTGGTGTGCTGAACTATAATTCTCCCTTAATACAGGGATATCAGACTCTGTTGTGGTATTCTGTTTTGTTACAGCTACTACTTGTGCTTGAGCAAGAGCTTGCCTATGTTGAGTAACATAATGTGCTTGTTTAGAATTAGAAGGATGAAACAAAGGTGAGAATACATCGTAACCCACAGGGGGTGGAGATAGAAACCCCCCTGGGTTAAATGGAGACGGCTGACCCGCCAGAGTTGCTGTTGTATGGGCTGCTTGTAAAAGTAACTGTGACGTTGTTGAAGGAACTGCTTGGGTAGCAGTTGTTGCTAAGTGATGAGATACAAAATCACTGTTTGTGCTTGAAGTTGTTGATTGAAATGTACTTGTTCCGGTACTTAAAGCAAGACGATTATACGATGTATACCATGGACGAACGGGATCCATTACCCAAGCTTGGCACAGCAGTGCCTAGCCTGCTTGGTCCGCGTACAGCAGGCTTTTGTGTGTATAAATATTACACATATACTCTTCGATATTCATAACATCATTTTTTGATAAAACCTTTTCACATCCATTTCTTGTGTATCAGTATAAAAAAACTTCACTAAAAACTTGTTTATTGTATATATGGTCTATGAAGTTTTATCCAATAGTTAGGACTAACAATATGATACAATAATTCTTCCATCTTAGTCTGAAAAAATAAATAACTTTTATATGTTATATGAGCATAAATATAATAGGAATTATAAAGTTTATATGTATTAAATGAAATGAACTCTAAACATAAGAAAACAATTTTATAAAATCTGTGCTACAATGACAGCCAATTTAAAAAAAATGTTGCTATTGTGATCTTATCAATGATTAAGAAAGAAATATTTAATGTAAATCTATCTAAATACTATTACAATATCATTTAGTAAACAAATTGACATATATGTATGTACATCATAACAACTAGTGTATTGTCTACAACTTATAATTTTTACTTATTCAATTGATATATCTAATTAAAAGAAATATAAAAAATGAAATTACAATTGTAATACAATAAGAAAATACTCACATTTTTCGTAAAAGCCTTAATGTAATACACAACACAATTGTGTGTTATCAAAGATAGTAATGAAACTTGCGTGCTTCGATATATTGCACGACGTTCACTGTTTAAAAGTTGTATAAACAACAATTTGTGTAAAGAACAATTAATAATAAATGTGCGACGTTTTTGAAGAACTGAAGAAAACCCAGTGTAGCGTCTTTGCATGTCCTACTGTACTAGAGTCCTTAAATGTTTTATACGTACAGAATAGCTCTTTATCAGAGGTAACAAAATCGCCACATCCTTTATCAAAAACAAACGTTGAGACGAGAATTTTACCTTCAATCATAAACAGCCATATGTCTTGGCTAACAATTACATTTACCGGTGTATAAGATATAATGTCTTGCCGAATAACACAATAAATATGGCTACACAAACTTGGCCAATGCACGACATACGATCGGCTGGCACCGTGATTCCGCTCACATGATTTAATCATCCGAAAGAAAGTGTACATTCCGGATATATCCTAGACTCCGGTACTCGCACATACACCGCGGCAAGTTAACTTCGCATGGACTCATTTATCGCGGGGAATCGAACAATGTTACCCCGTAGTGCCCATTATAGGCCGCCATTTTGAACAAAATCAACAATCATCTACGCCATCTAGCGATCGCAAATTAGAGAAAGTGTTCAACAGGCGGGATTTTTCAATAAAATTAATATATAAATCGAATAAATTGATTCTTTACTTTCGATAATAAAATGTAATCCTTTTTTGAAAATTACATTTTATAGTTTTAGCAATGTTAAGAAAATTCATTACAAGGATATCATTAATTAAATACTTATATTCACAATAATAACATTTATTTAATGATAATGTAAGAATATATTTATAATCGTTATCATAGTAATAATTATAGTGCAATTTGCGAGTATGATGATCACTGAGTTTTGTTACTGATTGAAGTAGTTATCACTCATTTTAATAACTGCCAAATTATTGCTACTGTAAGGAAAGTGAGTAGGCAGTTTGTGTTGCCAATTATTATATCTGACAGTATAAAAACAAAAAGTAGCATTCAATACTTAAGACACTTAGTATATCGCAAATATCGTTAAAAGTATCTTGATGCCACTGTGTATTGAATTTATACGAGTTTTTCCAGTAAAATTTATGATTTCATAACAATACAATTTACATTTTAGGAATTGTATAAAACGCGCTCTTGACTTTTATAATAAATATGCCACAAAAGAGAACCTTTGTTATATTCTAATTCTATTGAAATGAGTACAAAATATTTAGATTTAAGAAAGAAAAATTCAAAGCAATAAAATCTATAAATAAGCTTAATGATACAGTGACGGTATCACAGCTACTTTGATATCGTACAGTATTTAGATAATTCTTTTTACATACATTTCTCTAAATAATTGCATTTTACAAACCTTAATATCTTATACGCAACCATAGCTTCTTTAAAAAAAATTTATAAATATTCCACGTTTTATATTTTTTATAATAATCATAAAGTTAAATTCTTTGAGTTTTTTCAAAATCTAATCTTGGTAATAGTAATCTATTAATGTAAGACATGCAACATGATACATAATAGTCTACAAAAAGTAAATAAATAAAGTATAAACTAGGTTACGAAAATAATAATGAAATATTTTTTTTTTACGAATGAACTCAAATAACACGCTAATGAAAATTTTAAAACAATAATAAACATGATTATGTAAGAATAAATTAACAATATGTGGCAGCACAGGATGCATGACACGATTCAGCTTTGGTTTTTGTGAAATACACCCATATTAATCCCTAATCACGGTAACATTACAAAATGCAATATATATATATATATACACATATATATAAGATGATCAATATTGCTCTGCATTATTTATGTTATTTTCAATTGTACGATAAGTTATTCAATGGCTACCTCATTTGCATTTTACGTTGCTGCCAAACTGCGAATTTTCGGTATGCTGTATTTAATAATTGATTTAAATGACTTGTTAAGTGTTGACTAACAGCAGAGAACTCTCGTTGAACGCGATCCTAAAAAAGTAAAAAGTTCAAAATAGTGTAAATAACTTAATGTACAATTTAAATAACAAAACTTACTTCAAAAGGTTTAAGTTTTGCCGAATGAAATCTACGTAAAGCTTCGTGCATTCTAATTGCTTTTTCTTCAAGCTGCGGAGTTGTAGGTGGAAAGCTACGCCAAAAATGCCTTAAAAGTTCACATGTACATACATATACATTACGTAATTCTTTTTCTAAATCCTTTGGTATCAATTCTGCAATCCAAGTAAATAGTGCGTTACATGTGTGAAATCTTTTAATTACTTTTTTTAGCACAATACGCTGTACATACGTCCAAGACTTTCTTCTCTAAAACCTTTCATTAAAGAACCACCTGGAGTTAATTCCCCTAAAGCTGAGACTGCAGCAGCCGGACTAACTAATGATGTCGCCAATTGTCTTGGTATACTATTTCCTGATAACCAACCAGTTGCTTCTTTTCTTAATTGATTTAGCGTTATAAGAAGTTCTTCAGACGTTGGTTCTGTATTACCATATCCTGGTATTGGACCATGCAAATACCTATCTATATGTGTCAAATTTAATGGTGCACTATTATTTGTGTTCGTGTCGCAAGCGGTGTCGAGATCATCATAAATTAATTTCTCTTGTATTCTAAGCTGAAAGAAAACACATAAATGTTATTAATAAATTTGCTACTTTAAATATAAATCTAATTGCATACTTCAAGTTTACTTTTTTAGTCTTTGGTCGTTCGTCTAATTGATTAGAGTGCACTGTTGTAGTTTTACTTGCTGACGGTGCTGATCCATTTAATTGCGGTTGAGCGGATTGCGTAGGTTGTTTGGCAGTGCTTGCTTTCAAAACCATAATGCTGTGTTGATTAAATCTTTTGATCATACTTTGATGTACAATATTTCCAGAAACTTTGTCTGATTTACTGGGTCCATTCCCATAATTTTCATCTAGACTTTGATCTTCAAAAGAAGTTATATCCACCAAGGGGTCATCAATTCCTGTCTGAATATCCTTCTTAAGTTCTTGATCATCTATTTTGGCACATTCGGTAAAAAGATCCTTGGTCCCTGCATTGATACGATCTCGATGAAAATAATGCGATTGAAAGAACTTCGTCCAAAAATCGGATTCAGACATTTTATGAGGCACATTTTCTTGATGTTTTCTCTTTACTGCTGGATAAGTTTTAAATATGCATTCTATTATGTCAACAGTTAAATTATATTTCAATCCATTACAACCATCAGTTTGTGGTTTTATATCAGCCTGAGGATAATACAATTAATTGTTAATATATCTTGTTTTAAGTTACCTATCGGTAGTTTAATAATATAAATTCTCACCAAGAAAGCACTATTAACTCCTATTTCTTGTCTTTGACTTTTTTTAGCTTGGGTATACTCTGCAGCATGCTGTGACCAAAATTCTTCAGATGAAATGACTTGTGTTATAACTAAATCTCTGTACAACTGAAGTAGTACAGGATTTTCTTGAAGCATTCTGGTAAATAATATTGTATTATAATAAAAGGAAATCATTAAAATATTATCTAAAATATTACCTATTTTTTTCTTCTAACTCTTTGTTCACTTTTCTTTTAAATTTTGGTAGTAACTGTTGAAGTAATTCTTTTACATCATCACGGTCTTTAATTTGTGCCTCTTGTCCATTCCTATTTACAAAATGAAAAGTAGACGATGAACCATCGTGTAATACAACTTGTAGCTGTATTTTTGATTTTCCTTCTGGTGAAATTTTTTGCACTAGAAAAAAAAAGCATAATATTATTATCCTAAAAAATATATTTATAAATATATGTTCAATACGAATTAATAATCAACAACAAATCAAACTATAAAATTAATTAAAATGATACATTATTATATCAGAATTAGAAACTGTAGCAAATATAAGTTTTCCATGATAACTTCTTTTTATTAAACATTATTCTAGCTATTACACTAATTTCCTTACACTTAATATCGGCATATTTGTGACTGACAGATACAGTATCTCTGTTATCGAGCATCCAAGCAATTCTTTCATTCATCACATACAAAGTGCCATCTCCTTTCTTATAACGGACTTGTCCTACTTGCATTAGCACATCTTCTGATGATGTAGTCATGGTGGATGTAGTATATAATACAATTCTTCTAAAAATAATAAATATAATCCTAAAACATACAATATTTAAAGGTATAATATAAATTAGAACAAATGTTCATTATATAAATTTTGTATAAATAAATAAACTGAATACATAAACAATTTTATTTCTCAGTTAGAGAAAGAACATTTTTTCTATAAACTTTGATATTTAATTGTTACACCATTATCATGCAATATTAGTAATCCGTTTTTACAAAACTATTAACATTAGAAACAGACATTATAAATACACTTAACACAAACATTATATTTTTCAATCCTCGAACGAATAATTGATTTACGTAATTATAAGAAATTAGCTTATTTTTAAAGACATTATAACGATGGTTATCAACGATTATAATAATAAAACTTTTATTAATGAAAAATCAGAACAACCAAGACTTTTCGATTTCAAACTTTTTCAACTTTATTTGTATTTACAATCTCCGTATAAATGAAAAAAAGAAAAAATGTTTAAAATACACAATTTCAGGTGAAATATAGCGATATACAGAAATTACGATTTATTTGTCACCGTGCGTCCTTGAATACTACATTAAAACGTAATGACTTAAAGAGATCTTCATTAATAATATTTCGTAATACAAAGTTATACAAAGTCCAATTTAGTTTCGTAAACAATGAGATCTCGGAACACGTAGAAGAAATGCTAACTCTACATTGCAGACTAAACACTGATACGATATTGCTTGCAACTCACTTTTTGATTCATTAATTATAGTTATCGACACAGAAAATGCTTTTCGTATAGTTTAAGGCACAGAGCGCGTAATTTTTAATCGTGGGAATAGGAAATCTAATTACAATAGGTCCATTTACCGGTGATAAAGTGCGAAAAACCGTGGAACAATGCAGAAGCCCGTTGGGCGGCACGGCCATGTGCAGAAACACACATCAGCGGACGCATCGCGAAGCAAAGACGGCTGCGAACGGACCGTCGGTACGAACAGTACCATCGACCTGCTGAGACTACCGCACTCTGTTGTTCGACTCAACTTCCCTCCAATTTCCTGTTGTAAAAACATTCCTTTTTCCTTTTTTCCATTTTTTTTCTTAATCATTTAACCTGTTAATACGTTATATAATTATTTACCTAGATCCAGAATTATTACCACGATGTCTCGTAACAGAAAATGATACATTTTTTCACGAAAGTTGTGAATTTGATTAAAACAGCGCTAGTTATATCTCTGTGATTCAAATAAGCATGCGTAGTTGTATGAGGGCGCTGAAACGCAACAGATTTTAATACGTATTAACAACTACTTACTATTCTTTATTGTATCATCATATTCTATTAAAGAATTTAAAATAAATTTAACTAAATAGATACTAAAAATGATTTAAAATGTTTGTGGAAGAAAGGAAATAGTAAGTTGTTTTGATTGAGTACATACAAATTTATTTAGGAAAAGATGCCCCCCTCCCCTCCCTTTTTTAATTCCGAAGAATTGTTTTTCAATTATATGATTTACAGTTCAAAAATTATTAAATGTATATGATTTTATTGTAAATTTAAATGCCGTGTAATGCTGTTTGTACCTTACTACTGACGTATTTAGTCTGTATACTTTGAAGTTATCTGCAAAACAGAGAGGTATTATTGATAAAATATAAGAGCATTACTGGAAGACTGGACGAATATGTTATTATATTTATGAAAAAAAAGAAATAAATCTAAATTAAGGAAAATGGAAGGTATAAATTATTTGTAGATAAGAAATCATAATAAATATCAAATTACAAATTTATATTGTGTCTGTAAACAGAATTTCAGTATGTGCTACAAAAACAGGAAAAGCATAAAATATGTTTTGGATCAGGATGTCCTCGTGATACTTCAAAAAAGGGCATGAATGCATTTATGAAATGTTATACATTAGAAGATCATCCAAATGTAGCACCAAATTTGTATAATGTTTTGCATTCATTTAAAGCAGTTAAGACTAAGGTATAATTCATTGTTGCACATTATGATCAATAATAAGTTTGAATAATATATTTTGTTCTAGCCCTGTTCTCATAGCATTAGTAGAAAGGGTTACAGTGGTATTGCCAGATTTGATAACAAAATTATGCTCAAAGATACTAATCCATCACCACTTGATTACAATATTTTTAGGTTTCCTAAACAAGTGACCAAATCAAAATATCCATTTAACTCTAGCAGTAAAAGGCAAAGAATATTCGGCAGTTCAGTCCCAGGGTATAATAGTAAACTAAATTAGCTATAATAAATTATTTGAGCCAAATAAACTTATTTTAAATATATTGTAGGCCAGGAATGTATGTTAGCATTAAAGAACAAGATAATAAATTTGAACACAGTTTTGGCGGTAAAACGAAAATGAAACTTGGTGTAGATTTAAAATGTTGTAGTAAAAACACAGATATTTGTAAAGTATGCAACAAAAAATTACTAGGCGATTATTGGCATTTGAAAAATAAAATATTTTTATGTAAATTATGTATGAATAAAGAGTACGAAAGACAAACAAAATACAAGAGAAAAGAACTAAAACAATTTCGCGTAAGATTTTTGTACATGAGCATATACGTGACAACACAGAAAGAAGTATTTATTTCAATATTTATTTATTTTAGAAAATACGAGATTGTTCAAATATACATCGACATGAAAATACAACTGCAAAAATATGGTTGATGCATCCTACAGTTATTGCGAAGTGGATACGTAGAGAGGCCTACCTTTCTACTTATTTAAAAGGATAAAAATATAGCATGGTGTTTAACAGCATAGCATGATAGACAAAATTTAATTTTAATGTTTATTTTTCTTACACGTTAATACAACTATTTATGTACCGAATGTTTTTTAGATAAAGTTCAGTCATTGCTGCAAATCCATGTTTATTCCTATATACAAAAATTATATAAAAATAGTGAGCTTATGTATATTTATATAGCAAATATTTTAAATAATATATTTGCGTAATTAATAAAAGATTCTGTTTGATAATGTATATTTTTATGCTATTATTATTATTATTACGTATACATGGTAATCAGTCCATACAAAGGGAATATTACTGATTAATGTTAGGTATTACCTTTGTATTAATGTGTGTATGCTTCATATTTTATAATTGCTGAATAAAAATAACGGGTTAATAATATAAAGTATTAGTTATTTGATTTTATATATGTATGTATAAAATGTAGAATGATAAATTATATAAAATTCAAACTGATTTAGTTTGGATGCACATACCTGTTTTTCCTCAAACAAAAATACTAATAAATTTACAGAATTGTGTACTCTATATTTCCTATGTTGAATGATAAAAATGAGTAGTCAAATAATATGTTTAAGTCAATTTCATCACACATTAATTACAACTACTTGAAGAAGAATCTTGAGTTTCACTTTGTTGCTGTACAATTAATGGTTTCATAACATCTTCAATCGGGTTACCACCATCAGGAGCTTGTCTTGAAAGTACCGACGTTTCGGAAGAAGTAGAACAACTATTTTCAGTCGCTTCTGCATCAGTTAATTTTATTAGCGATTTTTCAGTTGTTATAGTTGTGGTTGATTCTGCACTATTACTTGTAAGTAAATGGTTGTAATTAGACTTGTGAAGAACAGTTAAGTCAATGCTGTCATTAATGTTTTCTGAAACTCCAGATGGTGTTATCCTAAATAGATCAGTATTTTCTGGAGATATATTGATCTCCATTAAGCTTTGCACTTTGTTTAATCTACTACTTATTGATGCATTAAAAGCTTTGCTATAACGGTTATCTAATTGTTCAACAATCTCTTCCTCTGATGATGGATTTAAGTGATGTAAGTCTGGTACCAAATGTTGATACAAAAGTGGGTTAAAAATATTATTTAAATCCATATGACGAATGTTTGAAGTTACAAGGTAAGTTGTTAATTCGTCACATCTTGATGTATTATTACTTTCTTCAGCAACTAATTCTTCACGGATTACTGTTGACATTTTATTAGGAATTTGTGATTGTGTAAATACCTCAGGCGAATCTCTATCATTACAGTCATCATCTTCGTCAATAGTTATACAATTTCCCATTTGGCTTTTAGAATGTTCAATATTTTCTTCATCTACATTATCTGTTTGAGTAGGTACAGTATATACTTTAACTTCTTGGTCACATTTATTATTACTTTGAAAACTGATACTTGTATTATTTTGTTGTGTATTACTAGTAACATTTTTCTTCATTGGTATAATTTTACTTGAATGTGATTGCTCGGGAAAGTCTAAAGATAATTTATCAAGCAAGTAATTTATATGAGTTCTTGTTCCTCGTTCTGGGCAATCACTTAAAACATTATCAGATGTTCTGATATTTTGTATTGAATAATCGTTTTGATGTCGCGCACAGTAATTATTATTTGATAAATTTCGTTTTCTACAAAAATTCGATGCTTTGGAAGAACCAGGTTTCATTATTTCATAATTAATTGTTCTACTGCAATTAATATATGTCTCGGGTAAGTGATTCTGAATGTCACTTCCACTTGATATATTTTGATTTTCAATCGCTATAGGATTTGTATTACATGGTAAGCTTTTTTCTAACTGATGTGTTATATCGTTGTTATTGGTTGATGCATTAGATACAAGAGGATTTGTAGTTTTAGAGTCATTATTTTCATTATCACTATTCGGTTCGTTCAAATCAAACTCATTTTCGAAATCGTCATCAAAAGCTGTATTTGTGACATCACGCAATCGTGACTTTAAACGTTTCGTAATTTCATCCAGTTCGGTTAGTTTTTGTCTGCAAGAAATATAAATATAATATTTACAATCATAAAGAAATTACACTGAAATAATAATAAAATAAAATCCACATACTTCAAAGATAAAGACAAAAATGACATAGACATATCTTCAAGACCAACATGTGTTACATGATTGTTTAACTGATTTTCACTATACTCTGATTTATCTTCTTCCTGTGTTGGTATCGATGTACTGTAATTAGTATCATTTCCTTCCGCATTAGCATACTGCATTTCATAATTACACGACGAAAGTTCACTCAATTGAGATACGGTACATATTGGCAGTCGCGTTGTACTTAGCGTTGTCGGTTTCCCGAGTAGAACTAAATTATCCAGCGGTGTTATACATACCTGAAATATTAGTAATAAAGTACACAAACGCGCACGTCATATTACATACAAATGAAAGTTAAATAGTACTTTTATTTGGCCGTTGCATTTTCCAGTGAAATCCATTATATGAAACCAACCAGATACAGTAGGAAACCCGCTAAGTAAAATGGAAAGATCAATGGCAGAAAATCCTATAACAATATCGTTCTCTAAATTTATTTGCATACTAATATCTGGGTCAAATATACGCCAAATTTTTAAGATCAACCTCTTTTCATCCTTAAAAAAAAATGTTCATGATTATATGAAGAATAAGAAACAAATTATGTATATAACTTGAAGTAGCATACATGTAAGAGCAATTCCGTTGATAGTTTAGTATCACATTTCCAGTTCCATTTAGGATTACAACTACGTGGAACAACATTAGTAACCGTGTATGAATTTGAATGTTTTAAAGAGTCAAATTTATTGGCCTGAAATGATACATATGTGCTTGGTTCAATAGTTTCATTTGCTTTTTCTACCTTTGGCAAATGTAAAGCACATTCAATTTCTACAATAGCCCTGAATGTTGTTTGGTTACACGAAGAATTTGTTTCGTTTTCTATATGAATTACACTTGGTAAATTAAATGTTGTATTGCTGTGAGCAGTGTTCATTTGTTGATCACTTTCTTCATCATATTCAGCACCAACACCAACACTTCTATAGGTGTTTGTAGGTAACTGAAAATTATGTTTGATACTGTTATTATCGCTATCATCAGAAGCATTATTAAAATACAATTCATTTATACATGTTTGCTCTTCAACATCTATTCGTTTTTTTTCTTCCAAATCTGTTTCAGTTTGTGCTGCTTGATCTATGATTGCTTTATTAACATTAAAAACTTGCGTTGAATGATCAATTACATTATGCGACAGAGAATATTCTTGATCTGAAACCTCTTCTTGTGACTCTTTATTAAACTTAAATTCCTTAACAGTAGAAATATCTGTTTGACATTCTTGAGTTCTTAAATTTGGAGAATACAATCTTCTCCTAGTACCATCAGTAGCGTTTGTTTCAAAGTTGTTCCGTGAAAATATCTCTGTGCTAGACTGCAATTGTTTCGGATTCTGCATTGGCTGTTGAGGAGTCAGTAAATGTTCTGTGCAATTAGAAGCACTTTCTGAAACTATTGTTCGCGGTATAACAGACATATTTCTTAAACCTTTAGACATTTCTAGCAATGCAATTTGTTCGGCAGTTCCAAGAGCTACTAATGCGAGCAATTGACCATAAGATTGACTAGTAACAGGATCCACAATTGGTACCCATCCATCCACACTTACTACAGGATACTGAAACAATAAATTATAAAAGGTTTTATGAATAACAAAATTACAAAATTACATTTGTTTGAAGTTACATACCTTAGACAATAACAAATGAGACAGTACGCGTGGATCTCTATAAGCAATATAAAACTGATGAAGAGACAATTTTGCCAATCCTAATAGATTATCTACATTATTATTTCTATAGTAAACTTCGATGATTATGTAATTGTCCTTAATGCGATCTAATAAATCATTACCGTAAAGAAGAGGCACTAACTGTAATAAAAAAAAAAAAGACATATATTAATGTATAAATATATAATCTAAATATAAAGAACAACATATTTACTTGACAAAAATTATAAAACGGAGTTGTTGTATTGTTGCAGACTTGACTTTTAATCTTATCCTCTTTCCAAAATGCTCTACATATTAAATACGTATTTACTTCCGGTAGTTGCTTTCCTTCAGCAATATATATTAGACCATGAAGTAAAACCTATAAAATAATCACTTTTCAATGAAAATAATTAATTAAACTGTACTTATAAATTATATATTGTACCGTATCTTCGATAGTATGTTCTTGATTTGTAACATCAACCGTTTTATCATCTGTATTTCTTGTCTTATACTGTGGTACATTTCTTGTAGCAAGTAAATCACTAGTATTAGTTAAGTGATCTATTTTTCTCATCGAAGTTGATGGTCTCTGACTACTCGTTTTAGTATGATTTCCTGTAACATTTTTACCTTCTTTATTACTATCCTCGGTGAATAATTCTTGTGTTTCCGGAATAGACAAGTCCTTCTTGGTAGATATTATACCATCTTAAAATGTACAACATATTTAAACCTTGAATATTAATACTAAATTTTTCATTAAAGTATACTTACCAATATGTTGTCCAAAATGACTAGAATCTGAATCTAATTCTACAATTACACTCAATTCGCCTACTTTTATTCCTTTATTAACAACAATTAAAGACTGTGCAATACTCCAATTTTCATTTTTTATAATATCATCAATGTGCATAGTAGCGGTTCCCAACTCGATTAACGATTTTTTATTAAGATGGCGAACAAATAATTTAAATTTAATAACATACTCTATGGACGGTTTCGATTTTAATATTCCATATATACCATCGTGATTGAAATAAATTACTGCAAACATACATACATTGATTAGTTCCAAATTTACAATACATCATACTACGAGCAGGTGCTGATATTGTAGATTGTACCTTGCTTTGTTTGCTTTTTAGAACATATTCTAATAGGTCTGTTTTCCTTAACCCACTTTTTATCTATTTCTCTGATATAAGTAAAAGTCATATCATATTGAACAAAATATGTTGCAGAAAGAAAATTATTATCATCATCTAAAAAGAATATAATATTTTAAACGCTTAAATAGAGATACATAATATAAACTGTTAAGTTTTTTTAATTTACATACGCGATAATGAAGAAGATTTAACCCTTCTATAACCAGCAGGACTTAAAGTAAATGATTTCACAAAAATCCTAATGTAATCTATATTCTTAAATGTTGCAACCTCTGAAATGGAATATAATTTTCATTAATATAACATTTAAAGACATCAATTTTCAATTAAATGATTAATATGTACCTTTTGAACTACTGCATAGTCTTTTTTCTGATAGTATTTCATTTACTGAAGAATTCGTTGGTGTAGGAGATATATTACTTGATGTACTTATTTTATTATCATATTTACAGGTTTTTAAGTAATTAGAACTATCATCTATTAAATTAGGAGTCAAAGATGTTGATCTGAAAGTACATAATGCTTTACTTTCATCTGAAGAAGTCATATCTTGACCTAGAAGATATTCACATAATTTTGCTTGCTCTTCAGTAGAAATATGAGATTGTAAACTGTTACTTAATAAATTATCATTAAAGATAAAAACATTTTCATTATGTGTTTCCTTTAGTAAAGCACCTCTAAGTCTTTGTGCTCTTGCTACAACTGCAGCTACAAGTTTATCTGTTACTTCATTATTAAATCTCTTTGCAGGTTCTTGAAATTCTGGTCTTCTTGATTTTAAGACAGATTTGTAAATTTCATTTCCTTCAGATTTCAATTTTCTGCATGTTATATATTTGTCATTTGTCACATCATGTATAGTATCAGAAATAACTTGTCTATTATCATGCTTGCATGTTTTTAATTGTATATTTAAAGATTTTGCAACATGCTCTAATTTCATAGAAATATGTAATTCTCCTATTTTATTTCCAGAATTATTTATAATTGGAACATATTTAAAATATGCTCTATTTTTACAAATTTCTAATAAATCTGCAATTTGAGATGTTCCTATAACTGTATCAGTTTCCTCGTCAACAATGACTAATTCTATAGATTCACAGTTCTTAATATATTCTTCAAAAAGATTTATATTTGTACGAATGGCATAAATTGTGGTTGTTTCTTGTTGTGATCTTATAACATTCCTTGTAATATCTGCTGGTCTGAAATAAAATTACATGTGAAATATATAAAATAAAGTGATTTCTGTATACAAAATAGTAGTATTTAATATAAAATATATAATTTAATAAGCAATATATATTTTAACCTAAACCTAAATTATTATTGAAAATTACTGATATTTAGGAAGGTTTACAAATTCTTCACCTAAATTGAGCTTTATCCGTTTCTCCCCACCACGATACAAATACACTGATCTCACCAAGATATTTTTTTAACCAAATAACTTCATCTATAACCAGCTTTAAGTAGCCATAAATTTTGCCCTCCACTAATGGCGGTAGTGATTTGTATTTCATTTTCATATCCATTTATTTTTTGTAATATAGCGCATTATATTAAATTTACAATTACACTTATCACCGATTTAGGTTAACATTAACAAAAAGTGTAACAGTATTATTGGTTATTGATTACAATTATACACTATACGTATATAGACTATACATTAAAAAATTAATTATTGACACTCATACTTTTATTTTATTTTTTGTTTAAACAGTGATTGTAGGACTTTGTTTTTCTTATTCTTATTTTGAGAAACAATTATGAAAACCGGGTATTTACTGCCATCTATTCAAAATGTAAATGTATACACTTACAATACATAGATGTATTTGTATATATGTATTTGAAAGAAGTTATAACCTGTGATACAAATATGATTACCATTAGAATATTAAATAATTGCACTAAATCTTATAGATTATTTGATACAAAAATTCCTTTGAATTGTTTAAAAGACTGTTGTTTCTACTCATCATTTAATTCTTCATACTCCAAGAGTGAGAAGTCAGAAAATCTTTATAATTATTTATACACAAAAATTCTCTCCTGTGGACCAATAACTGTTGCTGAATACATGAGAGAAGTTTTAACTCATCCAACTGCAGGTTATTATATGAATAAAGATGTTTTTGGTAAAAAGGGTGATTTTATAACATCTCCAGAAATTACACAATTATTTGGAGAAGTATGCGAATTCTATTTAAAAAGTCCATATACATTAAATTGTTCTTTGATATATAGTTCTTACATATGTATTTATTATATTTCTTTTTAGATGATAGCTGTTTGGATGATATATGAAAAAAGAAAAATGTCAAAGGGTCCTTTTCAAATTGTTGAATTAGGTCCAGGTAGAGGAACCCTAATGAAAGATATATTGAGGGTATGTTTTTGATATCTAGTACATCAAGATCACTGTAAGGTTTTATAAATATGAATTTATTATTTAGGTATTTAAACAATTGAAGGTCCTAAGTGACATATCTGTACACTTAGTAGAAATTAGTCCTACTCTCTCTTCAATTCAGGCAAAAAATTTATGTAAAACAACTAAAGAATATGATACCACTAAAAATGAATCTGAACAAAATTTTATTCCTCATTATAGGGAAGGTGTTACAGCAGATGGTGTTAATGTATATTGGTACCACTCTGTAATGGATTTACCTAAGAAATTTAGTATATTTTTAGCGCATGAATTTTTTGATGCGTTACCGATACATAAATTTCAGGTGATTATACTTAACATTTAAGAAAAAATCAGTAATGTATATTATATAATACAATTTTTCATTTAGAAAACCAGTAGTGGATGGAAAGAGGTGCTGGTTGATATAATTGAAGGAAGTAAGGAAGAAAAATTTCGTTTTGTTTTATCAAATACAGCAACCCCTGCTACCTTTTACTTATCAGTAAGAATCTTTTCATATTCTCGCTCGTCTGATAAACAAGATCTAATAACTTAATATTTTACAGAACGATGATAAGAGGGAACACATAGAAGTTAGTCCACAAACTTTAGTAATAATAGATCATATAGCAGAATATTTATGGGAGTGCGGTGGATTTGCTTTAATATGTGATTATGGTCACAGTGGTGATAAGACTGATACTTTTCGCGCATTTTTACAACATAAAATACACGATCCACTAGTACGTCCGGGAATTGCAGATTTAACGGCCGATGTTGATTTTGCAGCAATTAAGAAAGTTGCAGAAAAAAATAATAGGCTAATAACATTTGGACCAGTGACTCAAGCAAGTTTTTTAAAAAATCTTGGAATTGACGTACGATTACAGATGCTGCTAAAAAATATTTCAGAAGGAGAAAGAGAACAATTGGAATCTGAATATCAGATGATAATGGACGAAAATGGGATGGGAACACGTTTTAAAGTTTTATCATTGTTTCCATCAATTTTAAAAGAATATTTTCAACCGCTACTAATAGCAGGATTTTATGATAAATACAAAACTTAAAAAACTGGAAACCCCTTTAGATTTAAATAAATATTTATATATGTAAATAAGTTCTAATTTTCTTTCATTAAGATTTGTATAATATACATACATCTATACACGTGTAGTATTATATGTACGTTAAACTTCCTTGTTGAATGTTAATCTTTATTATTTATTTCAAGCTCATAGTTCTTCCATATTTCTGAAAATTTTAAAACTTTTTCACGTTGTTGATCAAAATTTTCTTTTCTGGGTTTTCGCCATATATCATGATCCATATCTAACATCCCACCTATAATCTCCTGTAATACATAAAATGCAATGATTTGTAAAACACTATTTTTATATTTTGATACTTAAAAAGCGAAAGACATTACCTCTGCAAAATTTTTTGGAAAAGCACGCTCGTCCTCAATGACATGAGCATATCCTTTATTTTTCTCAAATTCCACCATAAAATACGATAGTCCATTTGGAATAGCGTGACGTAGATCTTTGTTTTCAAGACTAACAACTTTTTTATTTACTGACCATTCTGTTTCACACTCTAATAAGGCTTTTTTGAAATATATCGGCGCTAATTCACCAATTTCTTTTGGTAATGGGACACATTGTAATTGCATGTGTAAAAACTTGTGTCGATTGGTGTAAATTTCATAAAATATTGGATACTGGTTTTGGTCCAAAAACATTTTGTATAAAATCCCTTTGAACATCTGAAAATAAGTCGGTTAAATAAAATAAAACTTGTGTTATTGAAACACAACACCTGAAAAATATGTCACCTTTAATTTTTCCCAAATATTCTCATCTAATTGTAATTGGCATGCAATGTGTTGGACAGGTGTTAGTATACAATGCCCGACGGTCAAAGAAGTATATCGAGGTAGACTTAAACAAATTTCAGAATTCATTGTAACAATCATATGTTTCAACATGTATTTTGAATCAATACACCAGTGACAATTGTCTAAACTTCTTGATAAACGTTTGTGTTCTTCAATTGCGACTGAACGATCTTTGTCATCACGTTTTGCATCTGATTTAACCCGAGTAATTTGTTCCTCAAATATTTCATCCATGTCCATGTTCTGTAAATTATATATCGATATTTACATAAATGAAACAATAGCATATACATATATAAAACAAATTTAATGTTACATACTTTAGAAGCAACCTTCATAAGTGCAGCATCATCCTCGTTTGTACAACGTCCTTTTTCTCGTTGGAACTAAAAAAAATATATATTTAAAAAAAAACTGTAAATTCTTTATTTCAATAAATACTTACCAGTTGTTGTAATGAATATTTATCATCGTCGAAATAATGTCGCACTTTCTTTCCAAAATCATAAGTTTCTACATTTTTTCGTTTAATATGTTTAGAAGATTCTGGAATCTGATTTCTAGGCTCCAATGGTCTTGTAACTCCTTTAGCATCAGTTTGAGTAAGGATTACATTTTGAATTTTTTCTTTATTATGCGATTTAACACTCTTTGTAAATTCTCTAGCTTTGTTCAACTGATCTTTTAATTCATTCGCAAGTTCCTACAAAACAATTTTTTATACTGATCTTTTTAACATGTTCTGCATACAAAATATAAAAACTTAATATAGAACGTACAGTATTACCCATTATTTCAGCTTTAACAATCTTTGCTCCAAGTTTGTTCATTTCTGCTTCTGTTAAAGGTTTAATTTCTTCAGTTCCTACATTATCTGTGTTGATGCTATTTTGAGGGTCAATATCCTGTGACTTAGGGGTACTTGAATCCACCAGATTTTCTTCCTTTTTCAGTAATGTTTTCTCTTTTTGCCAATTCCTTTTACTAAAATAGTTTGTGTTATGTTTATCAACATTTTTGTAACAATCATCATTCGTAGGTTTTTTATATTCCTGTTGTTTTTTATAATGAAAATTATCATGTTTTCTATATTGTTCATTTTTGTCTGAATTTTTAGATTTAGTTGTATAATATTCATCTTTCCTCCATTTTGAAGAGTGATGGGAAAATTGTCTATTATCTTTATGTCTTTCAATAGTGTTCCTACTATGTCCATACTTTTTTTTGTCCAATGCATCTTCTGCTTTGAATATCATTAATTGTATAGTTTCCAAAGACTAGAAGAATTAATATTAATATTAATATTAAAATGAAGCTTTTACAACATAACTAATATATACTTACACCCCATCTTTCAGCTGCAATTTCTTCTAAACTTCTACCTTCACTTATTGCTTGTTCTTTTGCTCGCTGAAGACTTTTCCTTAACCAATTTACATCCATTACTGGTTCAGCTTTTGCAGAATTTTCTTCAGGTAGACCAGTGCCACCATTTTTCCAATATGGATTTAATTCTTTATTAGTTTGACCTAATATATCCAAATTTGGTTTATCATCAATCTTTCCAGTATTAGTAGACACAGATTTTTCATTAAATACACATGGAAATACATTTTTTATATTCATCCAATCCTCCCTTTTAAGAGGTGTTTGTGCATCCGATTTACCAGCTACATTTTGTTCTAATAAGGTAGTATCAGCTACTGGTTTTTCTACCCATTGTTGCTCTTCTTCACTACTACTCTAAAATTACATTAATTTTAAACTTACAAGTAAGCAAATTAAGGAAAATACTTTTGATGGATCATATTTAAAGAAAAATGTACAATAACATTTAGCACTTACATTGCTTGAATTAGATTCATTATGCTTCTGAGATCTATGTTTCTTTTTGTCTTTCTTCTTTAATTTTTTTCTTTCGTGTTTAGATTTGTCTTTATGCTTCTTATGCTTCATTTTCAGTTTGTACACAAAATATATACTACATACATGTATACAGCATACGTATTACAAACGTAAAACTATATATACATTTTATTTTTGTCTAATTAATGTAAAATATGATCGTCATATTGGAGTAAAGTATAATATATAAAATGCACGCATAAGTTTAAATTTATTTTATGTAAATTTATTATGTCAGGGATTGCACATAACCACAAATTGTTTGATAAATACAAGATACAATGATAAAGTATATTCAGTGAATCAATTTGATGATATGTAATCAGTTTATTTATAATTGTACTACTTATGTTCAAACTACAGTTAAAAAATTGACATATAACGTACAGTACTTATACTATACATAATTTTACCAACCAATAGCAACTACGTAGTTACCGCGTAGTTTTGCCGCGCAAACATTGTGATCATCACTGTTAGATAATTAGGCAAATATTTTTGGTGATTATAACTCGTAAGTTAAATATTATATGCTATTGTTTCAATGTTTTTTTATTCTAATTTATTGGCACGTTAAATTAAACAGTACTTTATGTTTAAAAACTTTTCAAAAAAATATTTTTTGATATTGTACAGTATATAGATACTTATAATTACTTTGTTATATACTTTAAATTGTTGATGTTGATAACTTTTCAAGTATCTAACACTGTAGAAGAGCAATAGAGACTACTTAAATAGAACAGATTGTTTAGATTATGCTTTATATGATTGTTGAGTTAAGTAGTTTGTTATGAAACTGTATTAGAAATTCAATAGATTAACTTTCCACAAATATTTTATTATTCTAATATATATTTTTTAACAGGTTTGTATGTAATCGGTTGAAGTTACAGAAAAATTTATAAAGAATGGTTGAGTCTGATCAAAGTGACAAAGAAGTAGAAATTAAAATGCCTTTGGAAATTTCTAATGATGATATAAATGATAATGAACCTGGGCAAAAGAGGTCACGGACAGATACATCAGATGATGAAAGTTTACATTTACCATCCAAGAAAATACGTACCTCTGTTAATGAAACTATAGCTGATAAACATGAAGATAAATATATTTCAGAAGCAAATGGTATTAAGGAAGATGTAAAAGAGGATACAAAAGATGTAAATATAGAGGACAAGGAAAATATGAAAGATAAGTTAATATTAGAAGAAAATACAGATCAAGTTATGGAAGAAACACATGATGCAAAATCTCAAACTAAGGATAAGGAAGCATCAATTAATAATGACAGTGCAATTAAAGAAGAAAATGAGTCTAAGACTCCAAAATCTGAGTCAGAGGCAAACCAAGAGGTAATGAATTATATATTTCTTAAATGCAATTAAAACATTATATTTTAATAATCTCTCATGATATTTTCTGTTATTTAAAAGGAAATTGTATCTACAACATCTGAAACAGATGTTGACACAGAGAATTCGGTAGCAAAAGAAGAAATAGAAGAGGAAGAAAAGGAAGATAGTATTCAGAAGGATAAGAAACGTGGTAAATCAAAAGTTGAAGATCCCGAAGTAGTGGAAGGTTTAGAACTTTCTGTAGAGTGTGCTAGTGATAAGGATTCTTCCAGTTCTTCTGAAAGTGAAAATGATAAGGATGAAAAACCTAAACCAAAAACTATAATTGTTAAAGCTAAACCTAATGATTCAGAAGTTGATGCCAGTTCTTCGGATGCCGAGAAACCAAGTTCACGCAATCTGTCTGAGGATAAATCTAAGAAAGGTGCAAAGAAAGGGAGGAAAAGAAGTAGAACATCTTTTAGTAAAGCTAAAAGTACAGATTCTGAAGAAAATGAAAATTCGGATGAAGATTATAGTCCGCGTACTAAAAAAAAATCAATGATGAACAAAAAATCTACAAAATCGCCTACAGAGTCGAAAAGAGGACGTGGTAGAGCAAAAAAAGTAACGAAAAAAGTATCAGAAACAGATGAGGAAGATGAAAATCACAGTGTAACAGAAGATCCAAAAGTGGAGGTCCAAAAGGAGGAAAATGAATCTGAAGATGCAGAATTAACAGGAAGTGAAAATGAAAGTGATAGTAAAGATGCTTCTAAAGATGAGAAAGGAAAAAAGAGAAGCACTGTAAATATAATCATAGTTCAATATGTTGTTTCATTAATTCATGTTTCTCAAATAATGTATCTGGTATTATTTCAGAGACCCGAGGACAATAAAAAAATACAGATCCTGAAAAAGTACATTAGAACTGCTGGGATACATGTAAAATGCTATAACGATCTCTGGGCTGGGTGCAAATCAAATGCTGCTAGAATAAGATGCCTCAAGAACTTATTAGCAGATCATGGAGTCAGTGGTAGACCAACTTTAGAAAAGTGTAAAAAAATTAAAGAGAAAAGGGAAAGGCTGAAAGATATTGCTGAATTAAATACAAGCAACATTATATCAGAAGGTTTGTAATTCGGTATATTTTATCGAAAGTAGCAATTATATTGTATATAATCGATTACAGAACGCGTTACACGTGCTCGAAGAAATAAGGATCCAAATAAAGGATCAGCAAAAACACCGGAAACGCCTACAAAACAACGTGAAACGCGTAATACGTTTAAGAGGGTTTTAAATGTTATTGATAGCGATTCTGAATGAAACCTGATGAACATCCGAATGAGTATTTGAACATTTCTAAATGCATCTATATTGATTGTTTACTTATTTAAATATGGTAAGTATATATTTTATCTTTTGACGTTGAAAATTATATTTCACTTCTGTTTTTATTTTGCATATATGTGTTAAGTCAACTTATAATCGCTAGATTTAAACATAAAAATTAATACTACATTATAATATTTGTTTTAGAATAACTTATAGCCATAATATTTTGAAATACATATACTGAAAGAAAAATTTGCTTGTAAATTATTGTAGGAATTATTTATTATGATATCTAATAAACTTACTTTCTAATAGAAAATTTCCCTGTAATTAAAATGTATTATTTTAAAAATAATAGTTTTTTTAGATGCTCACAGTGTTTGAAGTATATGTAATTTGTTAAAGTAAGATTTAGATATTAATAAAAATATATTTTTTGTATACATGATTATATAAAATCGCTGTTTGTTTTGATATATGTTTTATACTAACAATATGTACAAAAAGTTAAAGCTGTATAATGTATTACCTTTTATGAAAGAACAATAGAACAATATAAATATTTGCTAATTTAATACATTACGTTTGCAAATGTAGAAATTGTGTAATGCATTCTTTACTGCAAAATATCTTTTTCTCCTTAACTGCAATTCTGCCATTTAGTAAATTCTTTTTACATATGTAGCAACAGAAACAGGTTTCTGTTGCATGAAAATTTAAATCTTTTACAGCAACACCTTGTTGGTCGGCAGCAATTACTTTCTCGCACATATTACACGTTTTCGCATATGTTTTTTGATAACATATAAGGCACAATGGACGATCATTCTCTGTAATATACTGTTTTCCAGCTAAAGGAACATCACAATCCCAGCAACAGAAGTGTTTCACATGGTAATTATGGCCTTCTGCTACGGTATACTCTCGTACAAAAATAAGCTGAAAAATATTGGAAGAAACATTGTAATATAAAATGTAAATTGTTTTAAGAAATTTAGTGAAAATATTTACCTCGTCGCAAGCAAAACATCTAGGAATTCCTAAAAGTGTTGCTAAATCCCTGCCGCAGTATAATTTGTTTTTATAATGAAAGTAAACTAAATCTACTAACAATTCATTACATATGCTACAAACAAAACATCCAGGATGCCATACTATATTTTTAGCTTTCTCTGTAGTTACAGCAACATCACCAACGCGTATCGCTTCTTCACATTTATGGCACTTTTGTGGTTTAACAGCGTCTGATGTTATTTCTTCCACAACGTTTTTTAAAGGTTCCATATTTGAAAAGTCTTGCATTGATTGTTTCGCAATACCAACAGTGTCATGAGGAAATATTTGATTTTGTAATTTTTCGGAATGAATAACAGTAGAGGGTGTTGTAATGTTATTTAATTTTGCTTGATAATTATCAGTACTAAGCGATGATAAATGCGATTGTGGTGATGAAATTGATAAAGGCGAATTTTCTGGATTAATGGTTTCAGTAAAATCTACAAGATTTGTTTGCATTGCCTTTGAACTAGGTCTAATTATTTCTTTTTCAGCCTTTGTTAACACAGGCGCATTAGTAGTCCTTTCCATTCTTGGTATCCCATCTTGTGATAAAGCTAACATTTCAGGCGGATTTTTTGTTGTAGTAATAATTGGCGTTTTATTGATTTCTTCATTGGCGTTTGCAAGGATATTTACATTTTTTGATTCAGAATCATTACTTTTGTACAATGGATTACCAAAATCTAAATCCCTTGTAAAGTTAGGGGTATTGTGTGGTATCTGCCCTTGATTTTCTTGGCTGCTATATTTATTTGTAAGTTTTTCTCGGATGTACATTAAACCTTTTTTGTCCAAAGTACTTCCAATTATGTCATTAGCATGAACTGCACTAGGGGGAAGAAATGCATCTGCTAATATAGTTTCTACAGTATTGTCATTGATAGGTTCTGAATGCGATAAAAATGAAGATGGGTTTCTAAATGTATCTCTGTAAGCTTCTTTGTAACATTGTGATGAATTTGAAGGTGAAGTAACTTCAGAATTAATGTTTGCATTTGTGGCAGTATTGGAAGACTTCAAATTGTCAGTCATTAAGTTTTGTTTATTTATCTCTTGATTATTACTATCATTCTTTGAATGATTAATTAAGCAACTGCCTTTGTTATAAAGTCCACTTTTAAGTGGTTCTGATTTTGCAATTTCTCCATCATTATTAATTATATTATATTTTTCAAATGCTGGAGTACTCTTGATATTACTACCTCTATTTAGTGTTTTTAAAGGAACAGAGAATTCTGGTTGATTTTTCTTATATGTATTTTTTGGGGTAAAACTACTTGGTGTACGTAGTTGTGGTATATCTGACTGTATACTGGGCTTATTTTGTGGACTGAAACGTTGCATATCAGTTGCATTCACAGGTGTTACTAACGACCGATCAAACGGACGAGCACTTAATATCTGTGACATAATAAATATTATATGTTAATGTATAATAAAATAACACATTTTTAATCATAATTACCTTTGTTACTGTTCCTTGTCCAACATATTTTTTTATATTTTCTAAATATTTATCAAACTGTTTCTTTTCTTCTTCGCTCAATTTATCACAAACTTTATGATCTATGTCATGAAGAGGCAACTGTTTTTGTAATAATTGTCTTCTCAAAGCTGCACCAGCTGATCCTTTGATGGGCAACTTTTCTACAGGTAAGGCTTTCATATAGTCAATAACAAGTTCTTTTGTTGTATCTGGTGGTATCCATTCAAATGCTTCTTCTGTAGGTTCTTTTTCATTGTTTATATGTAATACTAGAAAAAAAAAGAAGTACATATGTATATAATGAAATATTTCATGTATCATATTTTAGCTTCATTGATACTTACAAATAGGTTTCTTCTTATACTTTCTTGAAGATCCAAATAACAAATCAAATTGTGGGAAATCATCGTCCTGAACATCATGATCATCTTTACTGCATTTACAGTTTTTACAAATTTTCCTCCAAAAATGTAGATCTAAGCCTGGACATTTTGCTTTACAAGTCACACAAGGTGCTCCTGCTCCGGCTTCGTGTGCCAGACGGGGCTGAATAAAAATAAATATAACAAATATAAAATGAATGCAAGGGGAACAATTTGAAACAACCTACCTTTCTCTTTCGATTTTCTAACTCTAACAACCATTTCGGACGGTCATTTGTTTCTATATCACTCATATTTTATTAATCTTTCAGCTTGTAAACTATATTCTTATATAAAATTGTAAAAATATAACGAACTATAAAATCTTCTGACTACTTGACACTTGGACAAACGCGTGACTCACTACTATGGCTCATCAAAGACCGATACTTACATTTCCCCCTTCTTTTTCGTTGGAATCGTAAGGGGGGTACACTCACATATTGAAATCTCTTCAAAAAGATTTCATATATACACACACTATAGCAGCAATACTCAGCAGATGATACTCTCCTATGAAGGAATGAATTTTAATCAAATGTTTTTAATATGTACAAATACTTTTATTTTAACAAATAATTCTGTACAGATGTTTTTATAAATTTTTTTAATCATGCGAAAATGTCTAATTATAAAAGAAATCTTAACATATTTTAATAATGTATCAAAATTATTTAAATACAATAAAGATATCTTTTCATATTTGTTTATCTACATAAATGATAATTTATGTAAAATAAAGCAACAGACTTTATAATATTTTTATATACATTGTTTACCTTTTATTTATCAGATGGATAGCGTTTTGTACATATTAGATAACAATATTTGTTATCTTCAGTCAATTCCAAAAGCTGTATCGAATTCTTCTTGGGAAATCTAAACATTATGAATTGAAAATCAATATAAAAAAATTGATTCGAATGCATTACAATTTTAAAAATTGTGTTAACCAGATGTACCTTTTTCTTTTTCAACTTTTTAATCAATGCTATGTCTTTCGCTAATTCTTCGATATCTTGTTCATCAAACTTTTTTTTCTGCCTTTTTTTTTCATCCGTTGTGATTGTTTGTTTCATCTTTTTCTCTTTTCGTTTTTTACGATTTTCTAGCTTCTCCAATTTTCTCTTTTTAACTTCAGACCACGATTCAGTTTGTTTGCGTTTACGTTTATACGTTGTAGGCCAAATTCCGCTTTCTTGAAAAACTTTTAATTTCTCTAAACGACTTTTTTCTTTTTGCTTATCTGAATAAACAATTGAATTAATATCGATTTCGTCTTCTTTGAAAGACGTTGTAGTTTTTCCTTTAAGCTCCGGCATTCGAGGCATTCGCAGTAAGCCAAAACCCATTGCAAGTTTCCCTAAGTCGATATCTTTCAGTCTTAGAATTAAATTGCATTCATGTTTGTTATAAGCTTGCGCATACGATACAAATGCTCTGTTAGCTTTATCAAAGAGAAGCCGATCATGTTTTTGTAAGTCTCTCATACACTTTAAACATTTTTGGTACGAGATCAGAGATGGTTCTAAGTCTATTCTTTGTAAATCTACTTTTTGGTTTCTTTTGATAAAATGTACATATGCATCCTCTGTTTCTAAGAGAAATAGCAAGGCGTTTCCTTCATTTCCAATTCTAGCAGTTCTACCGCATCTAGAAGGAAGCAAATAAATTATATAAATTATGCATATTAATATACATTATGTATCATTTACCTATGAACAAAACTACTAGCTGAACATGGTGGATCATATTGTAATACCCAATCTACTTCTGAAATATCAATACCACGAGCCATTACATCAGTGCAAATTAAAATTCCATTTTCAATACGTCGAAATTCGTTAAATACTTTATATCGTTTATTTTTCATTTTACCATGTATTGCAAATACTTGAACCGATGGTAACAATCTAAAATTCAAGTACAAGATTCATTTTTATAAAATTATAGTTCCATGCTTTGTAATGCAACTTACGTTTGTATAACATGATTGAAGTAATCAACACATGCACAGGTAGATAGAAAGATCATATATTTTAAGTTAGTTCCCTTA